AGGTTCTGTTTTTTTTTTTTTTCTCTTCCTTTTTTACTTTTCCATGTCCAGCCCCAAACCACATCTGCTCACATCCACCACTACCACCACCACCCCCAAAAAAAAGGCCAGACCTGCCTCGTCTCAAACTCGTGCGACGCCACCGTCACGCGCCAAAACGCAGACGGCACCTGGACCTTTTGCGTGCCACGCAACTTCGACGGCGGCACCATCGTCGGCGGCACCAAGCAGCCCGACGACTGGGACCCGGAGCCGTCCCCGGCCGTGCGCGAGCAGCTGCTGGCCCGCTTCGCCGCCACCTACCCGGCCATCCTCGCCGGCGCCGCCGGCGGGTCCGGCCGCCTCGAGCCCCTGGCCGACATCGTCGGCCGCCGGCCGACGCGCAGGGGCGGCATGCGCCTCGAGCTCGAGACGCTGCCGCCGGGGCCGCCGGGTGGCGGCCGCGGAACCGGCACCGGCCGCGTCAGGCACGTCGTCCACGCCTACGGCCTGGGCGGTAGGGGGTACGAGCTCTCGTGGGGAGTGGCGGGGAGAGTGGCCGAGTTGGTCACGTCGAGGGACAAGGCCGGCAGTGAACACGCCAAGCTGTGATCAGAGCCGTCTCACACCGACGCAATGAGTAGTTGCATCTGTGCGCCTCCGCTCATATCATTTGGCTGAAAGCCACAGCTTTCATATTCTCTATAATTAATCTACTGGTATACAATGTTGCTGCGTCAGAATTAGGGTTGGTGGCATATCGATGCCGCCTTTTTAGAGCTGCCGTGCTCACAACACGATCCCGCCATCCGAACCCACCACCATTACCTCGGCTTGGGGATTCGGAAGGGGTGTGCTTCTGTGTTGAGCACAAAGTCGTCTAGGCTGATGACGTCTGGTTCAGAGAAAATCAGGAAGAAATATTTGAGTGTTTCAGACAGCCAGAAGCTCTGGATGGTGTTTGTGACAAGTTAGTGGGTGTTGAGTGCTCAACGTCGTTAAGGAATTGGTAGCTACTAACCTCCATGCTATCAATCTTGTTGTTCCTTGTCTTTAACGTGACGTCGCCAATGCCCGAAAAGGCGTGCTCCGTCTCGGTGGCCGCCCGGATCGACTCAAACATGGCCCAGGCAGAGTCGAGCCACTCGCGCTCGCCCGTGATGCGATAGAGCACAAAGACGCTCTCAATCGCCTCGGGCCGCAGCAGGTACCGGCGGTCCCAGACGCTAGTGAAACCACCGGGCAGCGTTTTGGCGTTCATACCGGCCAGGTTCTCCCACAACGTCTGGTTCCACTCGCAGGGCGGCTCCAGAGCGGTCCCTGGCGTCTGAATATTTTTATCTTTTTTACCTGCGCCACTCCCGCACTCAGCAACCGTGGCAACCTCGGCCATGATGCCTGTAGGGAAGGCCGAGTAGGCCCAGGCGCAGCCACGCGCCAGGCGCGCCCCGGTGGCCACGCCGTCCTCGAAGGCGAGCAGCTTGCCGCTGAGGGCGTACATGCCGCCCACAAAGCACGACAGGTGTTGCATCTCCGTCTTTAGGTCCAAAACATTGCCATTCGCTATGACTTCACCCGAGAACAGAATGTCGACTTTGTCCGGAACCATGGGGCGGAAGAGGATGTGCTTCCTGGCCGTATCCAGCATATACTTGGCCATCTTGGCGTACACCTCGTCCAGCCCGCCCAGGAGAGCGTACATCTTGGGGAGGTACTCGTAGAGCGAGTCCGCCTGCGCACCGAGGGTGAAGGAGTTGTCCATGGGGTGGATGCCCTCGGACACGTCGAGCCACATAGGCCACATGCCGGGTAGGTACGACTTGGCCTGCGTCTTCTCCATCTGAACCTTGATGCGGTCAATGGCATCGTAGAACTTGGTCTCGTTCGTCAGTTGGGCGAGGCGGGTGAACTCCATCGACATGGTGCCGACGGCGGCCGAGATCTCGCGCGAGCTGGGCATGAGGTTGCCGCTCCAGGCCAGATCGAATCTGAAGTTGTTGACCGGCATGCGAGCCGGGTTGTCAAAGGCGGCGTACAGCATGTGCGCCAGCTCGAGAGCCTTGTCTAGCAGAGGCCGCGAGCCGCTCAGGTCGTAGGCAGACAATAGCCCTCCAAGGTACCGGATGGTGGTCTCGAAAAGCGAGCATCCTGTGCCCGAAGCCGCGCCCCAGTCAATCTTCTGCACAGCCTTGACAGACTCCTCGAACTCGTCCTTGAAGCCCATGATCCAGAGCGTGTCCAGGCTGTCGACGAGAGTGGCACCCCAGCCAGCAAACGTATCGTCGCCCTTGAGCGTCTCAGGCCGGAGCTCGTCAAAGCCCCACGCATATTTCCTGTAGCTGTCCCAGCTCTTTTTGAAAGCCGCCTTCACGGCATCCCTCCTGGCAGCGTTGAGCTTCTTGAGCTGGGGATCGGGCGCGTCGGCGGCGAAGTCGTGCTGGATTCGCGGAAGCTTGTGGGGCGTGCCTTCGGGAAGGTCGACCAGCTTGGACTTGGAGGGCCAGTTCTCGGGCCTGTTAGCCCAGTCGCCGAACTTGGCCTCGCCCTGCTGGTGTGGCTGGGGGACGGGCGCGGACCGAGAGGAGACGACGGGGTGCAGGAGGAAGTAGGTGACGAAGATGGCAATGGCGGCTGCGATGAGCATGCGCTTCGGGCTGCGGTGGATCACAGGGATGGTCATTTTGGAGCATCAAGGAGAAAGATCAAGGAGAAAGCAGCACAGCTGCTGAGAAACGGGCGCTAAGGGAGGGCACCATCGAGAGGCTGCTGCTCTGCGATGGGCGGCGTGAGGGCAGAGACACAAGAGACAGCCTGGCAACGATCCAGGCCGCCGAAATGCAACAATGACAAGAAGTCAGTGTTGCACTGGGAGGAATGTAAAAGGGGCAAAAGAGAGGGACCTTCAAAAAGGGTCCAGTGGGAGGGTCGCAGATCCATGGATGTCGTCGACACGAGCCCATGCAAAAGTCCATTTGTCGGGCCCAGCACCCAGCCCTGCTCGTACTGCCGGTCTGTCCTCGCTCCCTCGCAGCTAAGGAACCCCACTGGGAGCTCCCTTTGTCCAGGGGCGTTGGGTCGGTCGGCTTGGCATTGATCGCTGGACGAATTGGCTGGTCATTCTCGACTGTGCTGCTTAAAAAAGCAAGGCCGCCTGATGCACAGACTCGACTCGTGAGGATCAAATTGAACATGGAAGGCGCTCCTTTTGTGCTGCCATTGAGTTTGACAACAGAGTTTGGCCCCGGCTGCTGGGATTTGGCACCCGCCTGGGCGAGCGAAACGCTCGATAAGATAAGGAGCGGCAGAAATTCAAAATTCTCCCAGTACCATTTCTCGATCGCGACCGCAGCCAACTTCACCAGCCCAGCCAGCCGCCTCGTAACCAGCAGGCCGAGACGGCCTCAATTGCGACCAACCTTGAACACACGCTCTCTCCTCGCCAAACACCAAACGGCCAAAGATGCCGTCGTTCCAGAAACTCGGCCAGCGGCCGACCCACAAAGAGCGCGCGCAGCCGCTCGAGAGGCAGAAGCTGGGCCTCCTCGAGAAGCACAAGGACTACAGCCTGCGCGCCAAGGACTTCAACAAGAAGAAGGCCTACCTCAAGACGCTACGCCAAAAGGCGGCCGACCGCAACGAGGATGAGTTCTACCACAAGATGCTGTCGCGGCGCGGGCCCGGCGGCGCCCTGACGCGGGGCGCCAAGGGCCGCAACTTCACGGGCGCCGTCGACGGCGACAGGGGGAACCGCGCCCTGCCCGTCGACGCCGTCCGCATCCTCAAGACCCAGGACCTGGGCTACGTCCGCACCGTGCGCAGCGTCCTGGCCAAGGAGGTCCGCCAGCTCGAGGAGAAGGCCGCCGTAGCCGCCTCGTTTGCGAAGCTGGGCGGCGCCGAGGACGAGGAGGAAGACAATGAGGAGGAGGGGGAGGACGACGACGACGACGACAGTGGGCCAAGACCTTCCAAGAGGAGGAAACCTAGCAGAGTGGTCTTCTCGGCCGACACTCACGAGAGGGACCTGGCCATGGGCGAGGGGGATGACCTGGAAGACGCAGATGAAGGCTTTGAGGGGTTTGGAGGCGACGGCGGCGATGATTCCAAAGGCTCCAATCCCGAGGCCCACATCAAGGCCGAGAGGGCGACGAAGCTACGACGCAAGCTCCGGGCCGCCAAGCAGAGGCTAAAGGCGCTGGCCGATGCCGAGGACCAGCTTGAGATCCAGCGGATACGCATGGCCAAGAAGGCCACGACGGGCGCGATTACCAAGTCGGGCAAGAAGGTAAAGATACGGGAGCGCAAGAGGTAGCAAGTTGTTTTGGTGAATAAACTCTGCGAATGGTGTGGCACCGACAAGGGAATGAACCAAGATACGCCTGTATAATTACGACCCCCGCTGTGTTCGATACCATGGATGCCAAAAAGCCGAAAATGAACCAAGGGATGGCGTTCCCTCGGGCATGTAAGGAAAATATGAGAACAGGAAGAAGAAAAAGGACATGAAAAGATGATGAGTAACAAGATACCAGAAAAAAAAAGGAGAACCCAGGAAAGATCAAGAAATACATGGAAAACCCAGTCCTGCTATTCGTCACCCAGTGACAATTCGATAACCCCGGTAACCCCCATGATGCACGTCGTCGTCGTTAGAATTTTGTGAGATGCCCCATTACGCATTTCCTTCATTCCCCTCTCCTTACAGCTTCTTGGACGTCAGACACCTGGCCGAGATGGAGATGCAGCCGGCTAGGGACTTGAAGCAGGCGGTGAGGACCCAGATGAAGCACTTGAAGGTGATGCGGAGCAGGCCGAGGATGCCGCGCACGATTCCGGGCAGCTTCTTGTCCTTTTCGCCGACGTCGAGCCGCTTGAGGTCGCTGGTCTGGCTCTCGATGTCGAGCTCGAACTCGTCCATGCGCGAGCGCGGAGAGCCCCTGCTGCCGGACTTTTTGGCCGATTTTTTGCTGCCGCCGCTGGCTCGGCTGTCCCTTCCGTCGCCGCCGCCGCCAAAGAATCCCTTCTTCTTGCTCTTTTTGTTCTTGCCCCCGCCACCGCCACCACCAGACTCGCTCCCCGGCGGCGGGCTAAAGATCATCATGGCGGGCGGCGGGTGCAGGACCTCGTTGCGGACGAACTGGGCGTCGCCGTGCGCGACAAGCATGAGGGCCGCGACGGCCACCTCGACGAGGTACGCGCTCTCGACTTTCCCCGCGATGGCCGTGTCGAGCTCGAGCCAGCCGTTCCCGGACCCGTCGCGGGTGAGGCGGGCGATGTGGCGGGGGCTCTCGAGGTGCTCGAGCGTGTACTCGGTGCGGCCGCCCCAGGCGGCGTTGCGGTCGACGGTGACGCAAAAGGGCATGGCCAGCGCCGGGTGCACGAGGTAGTGGTTCCCCGTGTCGTCGTCCCACACGAGGCGCGCGCACTCGCGCTCGGCGGTCGCGATGGTGGCGACGTCGTCGGGCCGCTCGAGCGCCACGCGCGCCGCGGCGGTCGGGTACAGCAGCGCCACGAGCCCGTCGTGCGGCGCGTGCCGGCGGGCCTGCTCCTCGAGCGTCGTCGACAGCGCCTCGTGCCAGTGCTTGCCGTCCTTGCGGCCCGTGCCCACCACGCTGGCCGGCTGCTGGCTGGCGGTGGGGCTGGTGCTGCTGCCGCCGCCCGAGACTGGGAGAAGGCCCGGCGGGCTGGCGAGGTCGGTGGGTGAGGGGGCGAAGGTGGCGTCGATGGAGACGGTGGGCGCGCGGTAGGGCTTGGCCGGGTCGTGGCGGGAGAGGGTGACGTAGGCCGAGACCGAGGTCGGGTCGACGCGGAGGTTGTAGAAGGGCTGCTCCGCCGACGAGAGCGTGTAGATGGGCGTGTCGCGCTCCGCCGTCATCTTGAGGCAGTACACGCGGCCCTCGGCCCCGGTAGCCCGCCACCCGCTCACCACCTTCCACAGGCCCCGCAGCTCCTCGGTGCTGCTGATGGGCGGCGGCGCCGCAGCGGGCGCCTGCCCGCCGCGCGGGGGTGGCCATCGCGCCACCGAGGGGCCCGGCGGGGGAGATGCGCCCATGGCGCTGGGGGCGGTTTGGTTCTGGTACTGTTGTTGGTGTGTTTGTTGTTGGTATTGTTGCTGTTGTTGTTGTTGTGGCTGTTGATATTGTTGCTGTTGTTGTTGCTGCTGATATTGCATCTGCTGGTCTGCGGTGTATGGTGCGGATTGCGCGTAGAACTGGTAAGACTGCGGCGAGGGCGGCCTCTGCTGCTGCTGCGCCGGTGGGCTCGTGGCCCCCATAGGCGGGGAGTAGAGCGGCCTGTTGATGACACTCCGCGGGATCTGCGCGGGGCTGGCCTGGGCCGTCGGGTAGTATTCCTGGCGGTCCGGCGGTAGGGCGTGGTTGTAGACTGGGAAGATGGACCTCAGCTGCTGCTGCTGCTGCTGCTGAGGCCGGTTACTGCTACTGCTGCCGTCCTGCTGGTAGTGGCTCGGCCCGACGACCTTTGCCCCCGCGGCAGAGCGGCGAGAGCCGTTGCTGTTGCTCCGCACCAGCGTCTGCGCCTCGGAGAAGGCCGTCTCGCACCTCGGCGGCGGCACCGTCTCGACGACGGCGACGGGCACCGGCCGCTGGATGATGTCGAACTGCACGTCCTCGCTCCAGACGGTCCGCAGCGGCGGCAGCGGGGTGCCGCGCGCCATGACCGGACCGCTGCCGCTGCCGCTGCCGCTGCCGCTACTGCTGCCGCTGTTGGTGCTGGCGTGTGTCTGCTCCCGCTGCTTTCCCTCCTTGACCGACCGCTTCCGGCGAGGCGGCGAGGCGGCGGCCGGCGACGAGGGCTGCCGCTGCTGCTGCCTCTCGCGCGAGGAGCCGAGGGGTGTCGCCGTCCGCGGCCGCGGCGTCGCGTGCCTCGAAGACGGGCCCGCTGATGCGTTTGGGCTAGGGAACAGGGAGAAGCCTCCCGTTGCCGTCGTCGGCTGGGCGGACATGCTGCTGTGCTGGGGCCTCCTCCTCCTTCTCCTTTCCCGTTGTTTTCCTTCTCGCTGCGGGCGAGCCAAGGTCGAAATCTCCCCCTTTCCTTGATTGCAAAAAACTGATTCCTTCTCTTGATGTACGTCTTGTATGCCTGTGCGCCGGCAAAGGACAGACGAACAAACAGCCCGCGCTGCGGTGCGACGATGGGAGCCAGCCTCAGATGTACCACCGCGGTCTGCTACCTGAGCATGGTTTCTGTTCACGTTCCACTGTCTTGAGCGGCAGATAGAATAAAGGATTGAGCACAGGTGTTTGCCCTTTCGGTGGGTGTGGTAAATATCTGTAGATGGGGTATCAATGGATTAGGATAAGAAGGATCGAGGCGGACAAGCCTATCGGTTCGAAGGCGATGGGTGCCGAGAGCGTGGTAGGTATATCAAGGTCCGTGTAAAGGAACAGGCAGGCAAAAAAAAAAAAAAAAAAAAAAAGATCGAGACAGGATCAGCAGAAACACCAGTATTCGTATGAGATGTGTAAGGCAGGCAGCAGGCTAGGCGGTCTATCTCTCTTTCCTTTTTTTTCTTACCACCCACCCTCTCAAGAATGAAGTACCATCAGTTCTCACTTGCAGGGGGGACCGGCAAACATGAGCCAAGACTGGTAAAGCATCCCGCCATTTGGTTTTCTTGCCTCACTCTCGAGCAGACCGACCCCAGGCCGGCGCGCCGGGCAAGGGTCCAGAATCCCGCCATTCGCTCTGGGTGAGCGCCCCTCATCGAATGGCAACGCGACTCTAATCCCCCTCTCCTCTCCTCCGTCCTCCTCCCTGGGCGCGCAGGAGGGGGAGAGTACTACCACGCACACGCCGCCGGCGCGCGCATGGCAGCAAGCAGGGGCGCATCCACACACCCACCCACTTTCGGAGGAGTGGCCTTGGTCAGACTGTAGGGTATTTTAAGCGCTAGGTGTTGGGGGGAGGGGGTTCGGCGGTATTGGCAGAAAGAGGAAAGAATTAATCGGCAGAAAATGAGGCTAGGGGCGGCGGGAGGTCAGAAAAAAATAATAAAAGGCGCTCTGTATGGTGGCACCTACTGTGTAGTCGCGCCAAAGAGGGTGGGCGGGCCCGCTGATTGGGTACGCTAAAATAGGAATGCCAGGGGTGAGCCCCCGCAAGCGGCCAATGAGAGCGGCCAACGGCCAGCATAGGCGCCGGCGGGCGGAAGCGAGAGGTGTGACTGACGCGGGGACGAACAGGCCCCTAGCCAACCCCTGGCCGTGGCAGGGACTTGCTGGTACTGGCAGGGGACCGTACGTTTTCGTGCCGCACGCGCTGATCGTTTGTGTGCTGCGCTTGTCGTTCTACCAGTGCACCACAGTAATCACCTTCCTCGCGCCGGCGGTCGGGTTGGCTCCTCGGATTTTTCGCCGTGGATGTTTTTACCTATATTTGCATGCTCATGTGCGCAGCAATCTCTTTTTAGGCCGTTGCCGGCGGGTGCGTTGCCGTTGACGACGGGGACAGCGGCAAGAGCCTAAAGGCTAAGGTCAACTTGGGCGTTGATTATCTGCCCTCTGGTCGGGCGCTGGCTGTCCAACCGAGTATTGGCCGGGACTAGGGAATACTACTGAAGAACCATCAACCGTCATCTCCGCAATCCCCCCGCTTTCCCGTGTGTGCGTGTGTGTGTTCAAGAAACGAGTGTGCTGTTTCCTTCGTCGCATGTCCCGGCTGATGTCCGCCTTGGCACAGCGGAATCGGGCTGTTGGCCGGGGGTAGCCGTCGACAAGAAAAGAAAGATCTTCTGGAAACATCACATGGACCGTCGACGCATAAGTTTCTCTGCGGTATCAAACGAGCACCCACCCCGTCAAGACGTCACGGCGCGAGCCATTGGAGCTCGGCTGGCCGTCAGCCCCAAAAGCCTTGCCGCCCGCAGGCCTCGGGCAGCGGCCTGCTTCCCACCTTTGCGGGTGGGATATTTGTTTCGGGGGGCTGGCGCGCGCGGCTGCCGGGCGGCTGTCTGCGTGCAGTATAACAGCGTGTGTATGTGTGTATGTGCTGTCGGCCGCCGTCATGGGCCCTCCTCGACCAGCCAAGTGCCGAGATGCGCACAAAGCCCGTGTCGATGTTGCTTGTCGTTTCTCCCTCCCTTCTTCATATGGGCCTGCCTTTCCGGCCTCGGGATCGTCGCTCGCCTAGTCTTTCTACTTTTTTCCCCCGAGGCCCCCAGGAACACTTGCTTCTCCTCGCTTGTTTCGCTCACGAGCCGATATTTGCAATATATAGAGATAGCGCTTACACTGCGGGTGGGATCCGCTGATGGTCGACTCGCGGCCAAATTTGGATCGGGAATTGGGCGTGCCGGCGGCCGCCTGCATGGGAGGAGGAATCTGGCGAGAGGGTGCAGCTGATTACAGCGACTACACACCGCACTCCATGCTGTGCCAAGATGGTGCAGCTCCCTGCAGCCTCGATCGGATTTCTCCCAAGATCGATGTCGGGCTTACTTACCTACCAGCCAACGATACCTATCTTCAGATTTGAAAGGCCGCGATTTTGTACCACCTTCAAAAGTGCGGAGCTTGCTGTGTTGTTTACTAATTTGTTGTTTACGACGAGGTTGATCAGCTTTTCCTTTTTGGGCGAATATAAAAAAAGCACGATGATTGAGATACGTGTGGGCGGGTGGAATATGGGTGATATAAAAACATGAAAAAAGCAACAACTTGCCAGGCAACCTATCGGGTCCTGGTTACGAAACCTTATTGAAGGTTTACTTCGATCCTCTAATCTTCCCAGGTGAACAGGCATTTCATACCCACGTAGGGGTATCCTGCGGCGACAACACCTGGACTCGCACTCGAAATCTATAGTACAGGGACTAGGAATTATAAGTAGGAGCCCGGCTTTTACCACCAAATCACGCCCTGTAGGCTTGAGGAGGTTGTTGAAGGACACGCCACGAGCCAGACTGATAAACACGGGCCTTGCTATTCGGTTTTTTGTAGGTGGGCTCTTTTGATAATGTTGCCCCCATGCCAGGATCAATGGTATACCATTCCGAGGCGGTTCCGTGAACTTTGATTTATCGACCAACGATGCATCCCGCCCTTTATTCGTCCTCACTGCTCTCACCCTCCTCGCCCACCTCGCCCTGCCTAAAGATCACCTTCTCGGCCAGCTGTAGGCACTTCCTGACGGGCAAGCCAATGACGTTGTCGAAGCTCCCCTCGATCCGCTCCACCAGCACGAGCCCGCCGAGGCCCTGGACGGCGTAGCCGCCGGCCTTGTCGGCGCCCTCGCGGGTGCGGACGTAGCTGCGGATCACGTCGTCGGGCAGGCCGCCCGACTCCTGCGCAAAAAAGACCTTTGTCTCCTCCGTGTGCGCGGCGAGCTCGTAGCCCGGGTGGCTCGCGTCCTCCTTGGGCGCGAGGACGCAGACCGCCGTCAGGACGCGGTGCACGCGCGTGTCGCGCAGGTGCGTCAGCATGGCCACGTGGTCCTGCTCCGACCGCGGCTTCTCGAGCACGCGCCCGTCGCGCGTCACGATGACCGTGTCGGCCGCGATGACGAGATCCGGGTCCTCGGGCGTCGCCTCGGCCGCCTCGCCCTTCTTGGCGGCGGCGGCGGCCTGCTCCTGCGCTTCGAGCGCGGCCTGGTACACGTCCAGGCACTTTTGCTGCGCCGTGGCCGACACGTACTCGAACGGCTGCAGGTCCGTCTTGGGGAGATCCTCGGGCTTGCGGGACGCAATTATCTCAAGATTCGTCAGGCCTACCTGGAGACGTCGGTCGCGTCGCTTGTTGTTTAGTAGTCACATCATCGACTATATACGTATACAGACTACAAAGTGTCGAACACCTGTCCCAGTGTGGAACCAGGAAAAGAAGTAGCGAGGCCACAGCGGCCATAAGGGACTAAAGAGAAAGGGGTTTACGCACTTGCGCGAGAAGAGCCTTTCTCCTGGGCGAGCTCGAGGCGAGTATGACACGTTTGTCTTTGAGGTGCGTGATGATGGGCAGTTGGAACGGGGTTGCGCCCGGCCGAGCCGGAGCGCTCTGCCGGAGCCTTATGCCCTGCGCCGCCGCCCCGGTGATGTAGGCCGGCGGAGGGTCCGAGGGGACGTCTTTCTCATCCATGACTGCGGTGAAGAATCTCGCCCTCGGGAAGAAGCTTTTTGGGCAGAGCCTTTAGCTTGGGCGAGGATCCTGAAACGATTGAGTATTGCGGTTTCGTAACAGTGAGGCTTGCTTCGCGTGAAACTGCCCGTCCAACCTCTCTTTATACTCATTCCCCTTCGGGTTTTGGTGGGGGAGCACCAACGGTTCGTCACCGTCGCATCTCATCCCACACCCAACCTGGCTTATCTAATCGCTCAACGGCTCACAGTCCAGCACAGATTCCCAAGCACCCCCCAGCAAGTGCCTGGGTTGCGCACGGCCAGCAAGGTGGGGCGCTGGAATGACAAGGGGCCCCTGCCAGCCGCCACTCTCTTCCCCAGATTTTGTGATGGCATCACGCGTCGTGCTTGCTATGCTGTCACATGCTCCTCGCCAAGGTGCCGTCGACTTGGGAACATCCACCACAGCCCCTAGAGACGCCTTGTACGGGGATTTCCCGGGAACCTATATAAACTGGCGTTATCAAAGAACCTTTTCATAGCTTCCATGTTTTCCCCAGCTCGGCAACGAACAGTCTGACAGGGAAAGAGGGGCACGGCACGCCAGAGGACACGAAAAAAAAAAACAGAGACCTGGGTTCGGCAGGCGCGCGCGGATGGCAACAACACCGCAGCGTCTCACAGCCGAAACAGCCAGGTAACACGAAGCGGGAAAAAAAAAGGGAGACGGGATACAATGATGCCCAACCCCAAACCGCCATCCCCCACAACCGAAGGCGCGAGCAACAGCATCAACACCGCGGCGGGCGGCAACGGGCCCGATGAGAAGCCGCGCCTGACGGAGGAGGAGAAGAAGCAGAACCACATCGCCTCCGGTGCGCATCCTTGCATTTATCTTTCTTCTAATGCTGTTTCTGGCGAGGCGCTGATTCATTGACACGGCACAGAACAAAAGCGCCGCCAAGCCATCCGCGAAGGGTTCGACCGCCTGACGGAGCTCGTGCCTGGGCTCGAGGGGCAGGGCCGCTCCGAGGGCATCGTGCTCAAGAGGACGGTGGACTTTATGCGCGACCAGCTAGAGGAGCGGCGCCGGCTGGTGCAGGCGATTGAGGAAAGAGGGGGCCATGTGGACGACTCTGTCAAAAAGTATGACTGCCCCCCCTGTGGAGAGAGAGAGAGAGAGAGGGGCACAAGGCCTATGATCTTTGGGCTAACCCGCCGTCATCCACAGGCCACTTTTGCAGTACGCCATCAACACCCAGAATAAGCTGCGGTGAAACGGTTGCGGAACAAAATTACGGCTCGGCTCGAAATCCGAACGACATCTACGACACTCTCCCTGACTTACTCTAGCCGCGGCTCTCCCGGGAAGCACTCTCGCTTCCAAGTCCTCTTACGCTAGTGTAAAACTAGAGACACATGGGCAAGGTGGTTTTTGCTGCGACGGAAGCGTCGAGTACCGTTGAGCTCGATAGGGAGGGTAGATCAATCGTTGCCATCTTGGCTATTCGTACGAGTCTACTGTATGCCTGAGGATCTGGCACAGGTCTGCTGCCTTGAGTTTTATCGGACTTTTGCCCTCCTGCTTGACCAGGGACGACCCGTCAGGGAGTATTGGGTTGGGTATGCCCTTGAATTCGACGGGGAGAAGGTCTGACTCGACTTCTTGAGCCCCGACCGTGATTATAGCACCGTAACCCTTGGACTTGGCCTCCCTGACCTTGAGCCCAATCGACCGTGCGCTGTCGTCTATGTCTATGGCGAGCTGCGACGCCGCCGCCGCAGTACCCGCCGGCTGCTGACCAACGCCCTGGCCGAGCAGCTGGGCTTTGACAGCACGCGCCCGGGCAACTACGGGCGGGGTATCGTTGACGGCCATGATCATAACCTGGCGAGGATTCAGCCAGAAGGGGTATTTGCCGTTGTAGTGCTCGACCAGAAGCGCCATTAACCTCTCCACCGAGCCCAGCACGGCGCGGTGGATGAGGACGGGTCGGGACGGGCCCGCCGCCGCCGTGGTATCGTCGTCGGGTGCTTGGTACTCGAGGTCGAAGCGCTTGGGCAGCTGGAAGTCGAGCTGGACCGTGGCGGTCTGGTGCTCTTTGCCGTCCGAGTCGCGCAGGATGATGTCGATCTTGGGGCCGTAGAAGGCGCCGTCGCCGGGGCTGAGGGTCCAAGGCTGGCCCAGGCCGTCGAGGGCCTGGCGCAGCGCCGTCTCGGCCTGGTCCCACTCGGCCGCCTCGCCGATGAAGTGGTCCTCGGGCCGGGTGGACAGCACCAGCCGGTAGTCGCCCAGCTTGAGCGTGGCGTACGTCTCCCGGACGAACTCGAGCGTGCGCCTGATCTCGTCCTCGATCTGCGATGGGCGGCAGAAGATGTGGCCGTCGTCCTGGTGGAAGCGGCGCACGCGCGTGAGGCCGCTCAGGGCACCCGAGACCTCGTTGCGGTGTAGGGGGCTGAAGTCGGCGTAGCGGATGGGCAGTTCGCGGTAGCTGCGGCGCTGGGACGCGAAGATGAGGCAGTGGCCCGGGCAGTTCATGGGCTTTAGCCCGTAGTCGTCGGCCTCGCCGGCGGCGGCGGGGTTCTGGGCGTCGAGCGCGGTGTTGCTGTCGGTGCGCGACGGCGACGTGCTCGTCACGGTGAACATGTCGTCCGAGTAGTTCTCGAGGTGGCCCGACCTGGCCCACAGAGCCTTCTTGTAGATGGTGGGGGTGAGCACCTCCTCGAAGCCGTAGCGGACATACTGGCGGCGCAGGAACTCGACGAGGCGGTTGAAGATGCGCGTGCCGTTGGGGAGAAATATGGGCGAGCCGGGGCTGTAGATGGACGTCGTGAAGAGCTCCTGCCTGACGCCCAGCGTCCGGTGGTCGGGGGCTTCCTTGGAGGAGGGGGCGGCTGGCGGCAGGTCGGCGGCTGGTGCGTGCGAGGCGCAGAACCTGAGGGGTATCCGGCTGGGCGGCGCTGTGTTTGCGATTGGCCGGAGGCAGGAGTGGCGGGGGCGAGCAGACGCCAGGGCGCGTCTCCTGGAAGCCCGTATTAATGGCAGCATGACACCGTTCGAAGCTCGGATATAATCTCGCCTTCTAGTTTATCTTACGCAGCCCAGAAAAAAAGCATTCGATGCAAGACCATGCCGAGATCCATCCACCTATCCAACAGAAGCGGACTAGCCTCGAAGCTCCGCTGTGGGTCCAAGATTGCAGGGAATCTGATTGAAAGCCCATGTGACACCTCGTGACTGCCTGCTGTCCGCACGGCGCTGTCACACGCAACTGCCATTGTGTTGGACAGTGAGCGAATTCCAGCAGAGACGGTGGCGACATCATGAGTGTGGGCTGGAACGCCCAACCACGACCTTCGGCTCTGTGCGCGTTCGCGGAATGGCTCTCGTTGACGTGCTCTTGATAAACAGGTAGATGCCCATCTTCCTGTCGCCTTCTTTTCTTGGAGCGCCGCGCATCTTCACGCAGCGCAGTGACTCACCCCTCTCTGGCTGCCTTCCTGCACGGTCGCATTTGCCTGCTCTATTGTTGCTCAGGTTGCTTAGCTCCGAATCTCCGTGCGTCGAAGTGGCGCGCTTCTGCCTTGGGCTGCCAGAACTGCTGGGTTCGCCTCTACAAATATATGGTTGAGGAGCCGGCCAGGCACTCAAATCTGCCACGAGCCGTCTCTACCTCTACCTTTATCCCTGTTTCTCGCGGTTTCTATACCGCAACCAGGCCCTGCGCGTGGCCCATCGACCTCGTGGACTCCCTGAGACAGTCGGCGGTTGTTCGAGACCTCTGGTTGGGAGGTGTGAGGCCGTGCGACGCTCGATATCCTCAAGACAGAGTCCGGTGACGGAACATGTCCACCTATCGCAGACGACCAGAGGTACCCGTCGAGAGTTCATGGCGCATGGTTGAGGGCGAGCACGATAGCTTTGATACATCGATAGTCCCAGACGACGAGGACATTATTCTCTCCAGCGACCCGTCCCAGCTTTCCTTTGGATCCGCCGGGCTGAGCTTCGGTAACTCCCAAGACGACAACCTACAGAACTTTGTGAACAAGGCCGAGGACGAGAAGGTCATCCTCAGGACGCCATTCCGCCCCTCGGTACCTCCATCTGTCAGACACGCCTCGACGGGCGAGCTCAGGCATCCCCACTCCCCGGATCCCGAGTTCTACATGCCTACAATCTCGGTGGACAGCTCCCGTCGGGGGAGCTCCAGGTCGGTGGCGACCATCAGGGCGGGAGATGGACACACGCTGCGACAACGACAACCGCTGGGCGACATCAGCCCGAGAGCTCGGCCAAGGGCTCGGGAGAGTCGGCGGGCAGGCCCCGAGTCCGAAGAGGCAGATCTAGGCGGACGGCTCGCTAATTCCGTGCCGGCTGCCGTGCTTGACGTCTTCGGTTGGACTTTCGGCGTTGTCGGACAGGCGTTCCGGTATCTACAAAAGCCCTTGGCCGTCGTCCTGGCCATCTACCTATTCTTCGGCGGCCTCATCATCGCTCAAAACATGGCAACAAAGTCTCTCATGACCTCACTATCCCCGATATGCCGCATCCCCGGAATGTCATGGCTGGACCTACCTTTTTGTCCGAACATCGTCCCTAGGGGGGCGGGGAAGGGCGGTTCGGGCGGATTCCCAGTCGAGTTTGAAGGTCTGATGAACATCCAGGACCGGTTCGAGGAGGTGCTCGAAAAGAGCGTGCAAGGGGCCGACCTCCCCATGGAGATGAGGCGGACCGAGATGGCGGTGCGCGATCTCCGCACCATGGTGCGTTACAGCCACCTACAGAGCAAGGACGAGCTCCTGCTCGAGTTTGACGGCTTCATCAAGGCGGCCGGGGCGACGTGCAGCGACCTCACGCGCTTCAACACGCGCGTCGGCTCGGCGATCGACTCGGTTATCAGCATCAACCGGTGGACGTCGCGATACATTAGCAGCCTGACGACGGAGAAGGAGTCGCAGGGGTGGGTGTCGGACGTAGCGGCGTGGGCGCTGGCGCCGTTCCAACCGGTCGTGCTCTCGGACCAGGTGATCCTGGAGCAGTACGTGGAGCACACGGCGTTGGTGTCGGACAAGATCGCGAGCCTGGTGGTGGAGGCGGAGGCGGTGTTGCGGACGCTGGGGCGGGCCGACGAGCACCTGGGCACCATCTACGACTTTGTGACGCGGACGCAGAAGTCGGTGCAGTCGCGCAAGGGTGAGATCCTCTGGACGCTTTGGACGCTCGTCGGGGCCAACAACCGGCCGATCCACAACCTTAACGAGCAGCTGTCGCTGCTGCGCACCGTGGACGGGCAGCGCGCCTCGGCGGTCCGGCAGGTCTCGGACCTGGTGCTCGAGCTCCTGAGCATCCAGGCCGAGCTCGGCGACCTGCGCGACCGCGTGGCCAGCCCGGAGCTCGCGCAGGCGAGCAACGGCGGCGGTCGCAACGTGCCGCTCAGCGTGCACATCGAGACCATCGACCGCGGCGTCGAGCGGCTCGAGCAGGCCCGCGACCGCATTCGGACCATTGAGGACGACAAGGTCAGGCAGGTGCTGGCTCGGGGCCACCAGTCGGGCCCGGCGGACGGGAACATGATTGAGTCTTCGTGACGGGTCGGGCGGGCTGACTGGACTGCTTCATTTTTCATTCCTGGTTTCTTTTTTTTGAACGCGAGTTGAGTAAAGGAGAAACATCGAGGCTCACGCATCGGTCATTGCCCTTGGTTGCTTGGAATCCCGGGACGATACTACAGACATGGAAGAAGGGACTTGGATCTGGTGTTTTGGGATTGTGCAAGCTTGGAGAGAAGAGATGACGCCGCAGCGGCCGGTTTGTGTTACCTTGTATCCCATCTTGGATTATCGCCGGCCGTGCAGGTTTTTGATAACAGCGGGCAGAGATAATATCCCACGGAATACCAACCCATGACTAGGGCTAGTTTGTGACGGATGCTCGTGTGTGGCTGATAGGATTGATATCCGCAGGCGCCAGAGTAATCCAGAGTTCCTGGTCATCTTATACACAGGGTCAAGACGATCTAGTGTGCCATCTTGTGCTACGTTGTGCTGCAGGAGCCGTTTTCTCGAGGTTCACTATCATGCCCCCTTCTCGTCACTAGCGTACCTAAGTAGTTCGACATTGCGACACAAGTACTACCTAGAACAGGATCAAATGCCGTTTTTAGTGCAGAGCCAACCTAGCTATAAAATCCTCAGATCAACCATATGCTCAAATATCGCATGCACTTCTGTCAGGCGGGTTCTGGGTCCCAAGTATTCTGCTCTTCCTAATCTAGAGTAGCCCACCCGAATACGGCGGGACAATACCGGCCCAAGACAGAAGGCTCAACACAAGATTGTCCACGCACGCCGGAAATTCCTGCCGTCGCCAGCTGCAAGCCTTCGGCCATGCCCCTGGGTCTGACCCCTGGGCCGGTCGCTGGCAGTTCCTGGCTCGTCCCTAGCGCGCAGCCCCTGGGACATGGAACCGTGTACTCCACATAGTCAGCAACATCTGGTAGCCCGCCATCAACGTCGGAAACCACGGGCTCGCGTTGGCCGCCAAGGGACAGGATCTGGGTCCCTAGCGCGGAGCTCTATGCCGCCGGCTCACGTGTAGACGTCTGGGTTCCCCTCGATTTTGGGTTTGATTAATCGGCCCGCGAATGGACCTACATGACCTCTGCCCCCACGCCAAGGGTATAGCAATCGGACACATGGGAGTCTTATCGTCGGCATCACTCCAGGGTTGGGTCGGAGGCATGGAAGTAGAACCTAGTAAAGCGGGGATGAAGCTGGGACACAAGGGTCGATCACCGGCTAGCCGGATTGAGACAGGGCTTTCGGTGCTGCCAGTCTGCTTGCTCGCGTGCGCGGCGGGCCTCGCAAGGGTAGCGGATGGAGGCGCTTGGGGTGGGTGGCACGCGGGCGGCTCGGCGACAGGCTTGAGTTCTTTACTTTGCCCAGGTTGGTAGGCAGCGTGCATATGGTACTGCATATGGTACTGCACACTCCTTCCTAGTTGCGGGTAGAGACGGGCGAGCTGCCTGGTCAGCCGTCGGGCCGGTTCCGTTATAGCATTGACGGGCGGATTGGTATCTCGCATGCAAGATAAGAGCTCGAGTCGGGGCCAGCTCTGGGGGTTTTGCTCGGTCATAATTTTCCCGTCGCCCATCCCGAGGTGGACTTAGCGACCCGTTTCCAGTTGTTGGCTTGGGTTCTGGGCCGAGGCTTGATCTGCTTCGTGTCTCTCTCTCGTCTGCTCGTGGATTGACCAAGGAGAAGGAACGTCCCGGCCTGCAGCTTCCCTCTCCAAGATGCATCTCGTTCCCAAAGAGGTCAGTCCGACCCAAACGACCTAGAGCTCAACTGTGTGTCGCCCCTGCCATTGGGCGCATTGACTGACGAGGGCCCGCTTCGGGCCTGCAGCTTGACAAGCTCGCCATCTCCCAGCTGGGTCTCCTGGCCCAGCGCCGCCTGGCACGGGGCGTCAAGCTCAACCATAGCGAGGCCACGGCCCTGATCGCCAACAACTTGCAGGAGCTGATCCGCGATGGCCGCCATACCGTCGCCGACCTGATGGCCCTGGGCGCCACCATGCTGGGCCGCCGCCACGTGCTGCCCTCGGTGTGCGCCACCCTGCACGAGATCATGGTCGAGGGCACCTTCCCCAGCGGCACCTACCTCGTCACAGTCCACAACCCCATCAGCACCGAGGACGGCGACCTGGCCCGCGCCCTGTACGGCTCCTTCCTGCCGCTGCCCGACCAGACCCTGTTCCCCGTCGCCAACCCGGCCGAGTTCGAGACGGGCCGGAGGCCCGGCGCCGTCGTCGTCGTCCGCTCCGCCGTGCCCGCCGACGACGCCATCGTGCTGAACAAGGGCCGCCGCCGCGTGCGCCTGCGCGTCGTCAGCCGCGGCGACCGCCCCATCCAGGTCGGCAGCCACTACCACTTCGTCGAGACCAACGCCCAGCTCGAGTTCGACCGCGCCGCCGCCTACGGCTTCCGCCTCGACATCGCCGCCGGCACCTCGGTGCGCTTCGAGCCGGGCGACGCCAGGACCGTCACGCTCGTCGAGATCGGCGGCAGCAGGGTCATCCGCGGCGGCAACAACCTCGCCAGCGGCGTCGTCGACCGCTCGCGCGTTGACGAGCTCGTCGCCCTGCTGCAGCGCGAGGGGTTCGCCCACGCCCCCTCGGCGGGCCCCGGCCTCGGCGTCGCCGGCCTGGACGTGCCCGGCTTCACCATCGACCGCGCCTCCTACGCCACCATGTTCGGCCCCACCACGGGCGACCGCGTCCGGCTGGGCAGCACCGACCTCTGGATCCAGGTCGAGCGCGACCTGACCGTGTACGGCGACGAGTGCAAGTTCGGCGGCGGCAAGACGCTGCGCGAGGGCATGGGCCAGGCCTCGGGCAGGTCCGACGACGAGTCGCTGGACCTGGTCATCACCAACGCCCTCATACTCGACTGGTCCGGCATCTACAAGGCCGACATCGGCGTCAAGAAGGGTATGATCTCCGCCATCGGTAAGGCCGGGAACCCGGACGTTATGGACGGCGTCACGCCGGGCATGGTCGTCGGCAGCTGCACCGACGTCATCGCCGGCGAGGGCAAGATCATCACGGCCGGTGGCATCGACACGCACATCCACTTCATCTGCCCGCAGCAGGCCGACGAGTCTCTCGCCGCCGGTATCACGACGTACCTGGGCGGCGGGACCGGACCCACGTATGTGCTTTCTTGCCCTTCTCATACCCCCCCATCTCCCGCGCCTCTTCCTCCTTGCTGACCCTCTCCACCGTTGCTGCGGCAAAAAGTGCTGGCACCAACGCGACGACGTGCACCCCCGGTAAGCACTACATGCGCCAGATGCTGCAGGCCTGTGACTCGCTGCCCCTCAACGTCGGCATCACGGGCAAGGGCAACGACAGCGGCACCGTGGGGCTGCGCGAGATGGTCCTGGCGGGCGCGTGCGGCCTCAAGCTGCACGAGGACTGGGGCTCGACGCCGGCTGCTATCGACGCCTGCCTTTCCGTGTGCGACGAGTACGACGTGCAGTGCATGATCCACACCGACACGCTCAACGAGTCGGGCTTCGTCGAGAGCACCATCGCCGCCTTCAAGGGCCGCACCATCCACACGTACCACACCGAGGGCGCCGGCGGCGGCCACGCGCCCGACATCATCTCGGTCGTCGAGCACCCGCACGTGCTCCCGTCCAGCACCAACCCGACGCGGCCCTTCACGCGCAACACGCTCGACGAGCACCTCGACATGCTCATGGTCTGCCACCACCTGTCGCGCGACATACCCGAGGACGTGGCCTTTGCCGAGTCCCGCATCCGCGCCGAAACCATCGCGGCCGAGGACGTGCTGCACGACCTGGGCGCCATCTCCATGATGAGCTCCGACTCGCAGGCTATGGGCCGCCCGGGCGAGGTGATCCTCCGCACCTGGAACACGGCCCACAAGAACAGGCTCCAGCGCGGCCCCTTGCCCGAGGACGCCGGCACGGGCGCCGACAACTTCCGCGCCAAGCGCTACGTGTCAAAGTACACCATCAACCCGGCGCTGGCCCAGGGCATGTCCCACCTCGTCGGCAGCGTCGAGCCGGGCCGCCTGGCCGACCTGGTGGTCTGGGACCCGGCCTGGTTCGGCACCAAGCCGAACCTGGTGCTCAAGTCCGGGCTCGTCGCCTGCGCCATGATGGGCGACCCCAACGGCTCCATCCCCACCATCCAGCCTGTCGTCGCCCGCCGCATGTTTGCGCCCCGCGTGCCCGAGTCCTCGGTCCTCTTTGTGAGCGCCGCCTCGGTCGAGCACGGCATCGCGCAGAGCTACGGCCTCCGCAAGCGCGTCGAGCCCGTGAGGGGCTGCAGGTCCGTCTCCAAGCGCGACATGCGCTTCAACGACGCCATGCCCGCCATGCGCGTCGACCCGGAGTCGTACCGAGTCGAGGCCGACGGCGTCGTGTGCGCCGCCGAGCCCAGCACCGAGCTGCCACTGACGCAGCAGTTTTACGTCTACTAGATTTTTCTCTTTTTTTTCCCTTCTCCCTTGATGTTTTATTTTATTTTATTCTTCTTGTTCGTGTTTACAAGTTGGGGTTTGCTGGCTCGGGCCAGCTGTGTTGGGAAATACAAAGGACGACATATTCTCGGTCACATGGGCGCGGGTGCCTCTTAAAGTACTAATAGTGATTTTTTGAACAAGAAGCGCATAATTTCCATCGCAGGCTCACTTCCAGATGCTTCCTTCTCCGCGACCGGGTAGATATGATAACAGTGTTTTGTTGATGGCCGAATACTTTCGACGGACCCGAGTTCCCCCCTCGTCCGTCTCCAGAAACCGACTGAGCCCCAACGGCCTCCGCAGGCCTGCTCCTCCATCCAGTCGGTATATAAAAACTCGTCCCACCAGTATAAAATTTGCTGTCCGACACAGCCGTCATGATGTTTCATACAGTACGTTTAAGAACAAGGTCTCAAGAAAGACAAGGTAGAGAGAAGAGGAAAAAAAACAAACAGAAAACCGCCCTGTAGGAAAAGTAGATATTCCCGGCAGATCAGCCCCTCCTCAGCCCCCCCTGGCCCCAAATCCCTGTTGCCCCCTCAGAAAAGTTGACGCCGAAACACCAGAGCGCCCAAGGAATCCGCAGGAAGGTGACTTGAGTTGCCGAGGGAGCGTGAGTCTAGTAGATAACCAAAGCCGCCGCCATAAAAAAAAAAAATAACCGGGAAGGAGAACGCAGCGTGGGCAAGAAGAGGCTCGCGCGCGCGCAACTGGTATCATAAGAATTCGACTGGCTTTGCCTTGTTTGCTTGTGTTTTTTTTTGTGTGATGTGTTGTGTTCCATGACCTCCTCATTCATCGAGAAGAGCAGGATCAATGTTCTCAAGCTCAGCATCAGCCGCCTAGCCTGACTTGGCCTTCTTGGTGCGGCCCGACTTCTTGGGTTCGGGCTCGGGCTTCTCCTCGGCGGCCTTGGACTGCCGCTTGCGCTTCTTGGTTGTGCTCTCGCTTGGTGCAGGCGTGGGAGGCTCGGCGGGGGTCGAGGCGGCCGCGCTCTTACGCTTGCCGGCCGCGCCCTTCTTGGTCGACTTGGGGGTCTTAGCCACGGGCGGGCTCTCGGGCGCGGCCTCCTCCTCCTCCTCCTCTTCGGGCTCGTCCACGACGGCGCCCTGAAGCTGCTGCGCGATGGCGTCCTGGTCGTTGCCGACCTCAACGACGGCGGCGGCCACGTCCTTGCCGGTAGGCATAGGGATGCTGTGCTGCTCAGCGTACTGCTGAGCGTCCTCGTCCGACATCTCCTTGGCGCCGGGGTTTCCGTGCTTGTAAGAGTGCACCCGTGCGTTGTACAGGCGCAGGTTGTACTGGTAGGCCTGGTCCCAGCCGGCCTTCTCGGCCTGGGACATGGTGCCCCACCGGCGCTGGCCCTCCTCCTGCACAGCGCCCTTGGCCGCGTCCGAGCCTAGGTCGGCGGCGATGATGGGCCTGGCAGTCTGCATGTACAGGAAGTAGGGGGTCAGGGGCCTTTTAGGGGCGTTGGGGTCATGGTGGCGCTTCTTGCGCTCCTTCTTAGGCTCCTCGGCCGGCATGGGCACGAGGCCAGTAGCAGGGAGGAGGTTCACCATGCCCTCGAGCCCTCCGAACTCGACAGCATTGTCGAGCGGTCCATCGCCGAAACCAAGCAGCAAATTGGTCTGTCTCAAGTAGTCTCCCGAGAACTGCTGGAGGAGGTTCTGGATGCTGACCAGTCTCGAGTAAACTGTTTGGTGCTTTGTTAGTATATAAATCACTTTTGAAGCGGTATCCAGACGATGGCAGTCGAGAGTAGTGCGTAAAGCAATGTGGTTGAAGATGCCCTGGTCATCTCCTGGCAGCTTTGCCTGATCCGACAGCATGTAAACAAAACCTCGCGATGAGGTTAGGTAGGCCATGGCTTTGCGGAGAACCCCTTCCCTCCCCAAAGGAAAAGTCACATGACGTGACAGACAGATGGGCATTTGTATTGCCCATTTCCACTGAGAGAAATGTGGCATTTGTCTGTAGCGGGTGTTTGGGGTGCTGTGACAGACGCGGACATGACGGGTCGGCGCGGAGAGCGTGTTGGGAGATAATATGCATGTGGGTGGTGGTGCTAGCCTTATGGGCCTATGCCCCAGCCTGGCGCGTTGTTGTCATGCACAAGAACGCGCAGGCTGTTTGGGGGACATGGTGGCCTCTTTTCTAGGGCACGGGTGTTGTGGGGGAGGCAGTGGCAGACTTTGGGAAGAGGGCGCGGCGGGGAAATGGGATCGGTGCAGAGGGAGGAGAGATGGGCGATGGCGGCGGGACATGGGCCGAGGACAGCGCAGCGCGCGGTGGGCGATAAGTACTAACCAGAGTCGCGGACACGCACGAAACCCTCGACGTCGATTTGGCGGGGCGGAGGAGGCATCGAGCTGCTTGCAACTACGTTTTCAACCACTGGGGCCTTGTTCTTGGGAGGGCGCGCCATTGATGCTGCTGGGCGAGATGCCTGGAATCCGCGGGGTGGTGGTTTGTGGGTGTTGGGACGGCTCGGTAGCAGATGCTAGCGACGCTGGGGTTCAGTCGTGCCGAAATTAATTCAGCGCGGCGTTGGTGTTGATCAAATTGTTCGATTGCACGCTGGTGGATTTGCGCTGGTGCTCGGGCTGGCTTGCCTACAGCGGGCGGGCGCTGAAAGAATAGAATGCTGAGGGGAATTTGGTGAGGCTATTGGGATCAAGAAAGTGGGAGACGCGAGGGAATTTTTCTGGGGGGAGTGCTGGAGTTAAAGCGGAATTTTTAGTGGCCCAGCCTTCCAGATCACTCAGAGCCTGCAGTGGGTGTGCGGGTGTGGGTGCGGTAGGAAAAAAAATTCAAACCTGCTGGGGCCTGGCACAACCCGAGGCCAAAATCAGCAACCCATCTGAATTTTGATGTTCGACCCGTGTGGGCGCCCGCTGCCTATGCCCGCACCCCTCCACTGTCCCCGCCCAGCTGGAGCGCGCTCAAAAGCCCAGTAACAACCACCACCCACCCAAGCCCGACCGACCTTCCTGGCATGGTGGGCTCCTGCCCCCAACCTAGGCCTGAGACGGATACTGCCCTGGAGCAGCAGCAATACCTCTTCGTCTCCAAATCACGCGGTCGCGTCCTATTTTCTGTCGTCGTGGCCTTTGCTGCTCGATGATCGCGCTCCCGGCGAGCTGTGCACTCTGTACCGAATTGCAGCAGTTCCGGCCGCTAAGAATCGGTTTGCGCTGCAAAAGTCGTAGATTCTGCCCTGTTGTAGTCTTGCCGCACCGCCCTCAGTCGCTGGTTCTGTTCTGGGACTACCCGCGGGCCAGCGCGAAGTGAGGTCGCGGCAGAGGCATCTTCAGGTACCTCCCGCCCAAGCTCTGGTGGATTTCAGGCGTCCGTTTCGAGCTGGGGCAAAAATGGCCCGTCGCATGTGAGCTGCGGTGCCGGGGTGTGCGTGTGCGACAGCTGGGGGGCGAAGCAGCAGGCGCGAAATCAGCCTGGGCGGGCTTAGAGACACCCCCCAGTCAGCCTGGGTGCCTGCCAATTACATTGCACCGATGGGCCTTCCTCCCAGGCGCACTCCAGATTGGGCGAGGGAATAACATTGCGTGCGGCAAATAGCACCGGGCAGACGCGACATCACAGCAGGCAAGCACTGCTGCACCAGGGCAGCCCTGCAGCGAATTGAGGACTTCACGCTTTATCAATGGATCCCACCTTCCCCTTCCAAAGCAGCCAGCACCAGCGGCAGCTCCAGGCGAGCTTCCAATGCGCCCGACGGCGCAGAGACGCAAGGCTAAGGCGTTCGCGCGCTGACCACAGCAAACATTGAGCGTGCAACGATTGACTGGATTTTACAGCCCTGGACAGCACGGTACAGTGATTATGTTTAACACAGCACACACACATAACCCGTAGCTCCCACCCAGCCAGCCAAATACGCTAGATCAAACTTTGCAAAGCTGAGACAATCAGACACACATCAGGCACTCATGGATACGTTAAACAATTGAGTGCACTACGCGCTGTTGAGGTAGTCCAATTAGGGGAAGTGACAGCACAGCTCGAGGTACATATTCACGAGACTGTTCTTGCCCGCTCTCAGTTGTGCCCAAATGCTGGATTGAGCTTCAGCTCATGGTCGTGCCTGAATGAGGTGACTGACTGACTGCCCTGGACCTGGACCCAGTCAGTCACCCGCGACGTCCCGAGTTCGCAGCCCGCTCCGCCGAATTGGCCAATCACCGCCTGCCCTAAACTGCAGCTCCAGCCGTGCAAGCCTTTTCAACCCCTCCACCCCACCCGCAAAACGCCGCAAAACGCCGGCAGAATAAATCTGATATGGCCGGCACAGCGGAGGCGGGCCACTAGCATCAGATGGTTTAACTGCGCTGCCTACCAACCTATCTCCCAGGCATTTGAATAGATAACTGATCGCTATCCTCCCGGACAAGGATCTTTCGCTCTCAGACACCCGATCTATTTCGACACCTCCAAGACCCAAGTCCCCATCCAACATGGCAAACTACGACCAGTACCAGACGCCGCTGGGCATGCGCTATGCCAGTAGGTCACAGCGATCCCGTTCGCCCCGCGAATCGGCACGACTAATACCTCTGTACCTAGGCAAGGAAATGCTCCAGCTGTTCTCCCCTCGGAGTCGCGCCAACACCTGGAGGCAGCTCTGGATCGTAAATACACAACTCTACTCTTTGCCGTGTATCTCTTGTAGACTGGAAGTGGCTCCACACTGACATAAAGCAGCACCTTGCCGAGGCCGAGCACGAACTGGGCCTGCCTCAGGTGAGTGAACTTCAAGTCTCAACTCGGGTGAGGCCGACTTGGATGCTAACTGAAGACTAGGTCACAGCTGAGAAAATCGCCGAGCTCAAGGCCAACGCCTACGTGAGCGATGAGGCTTTCGAGGTCATTCGCGTATGTCTCCCTAGCCCATTTCCTCTTGTTGTGATAGTCAGGCCGGGCTTTGCCGCACAGGCGCAAATAGCTCACCTGTCGATAGGTCGAAGAGAAGATCCGACGCCACGATGTCATGGCCAACGTCCACGTATGTGAAACCTTGCCCACCCCCGCGGCCATCTGATGCTACACTGATAGCATTCTAGAGGTAAACTGAATGCGGGCTGACCAGTGAGCAGGCTTACGGGAAAGAGGCTCCCAACGCAGCTGGCATCATCCATCTCGGCGCGACGTCCTGCTATGTCACCGACAATGCCGAGCTGATCTTTATCAAGAAGGGCCTGGAACTGCTCCTGCCCAAGCTCGCCAAGGTTGTCAGCAACCTGCAGAAATTTGCCCTCAAGTACAAGGACGTCCCGACCCTTGGCTTCACCCACCTCCAGCCGGCCCAGCTTATCACGGTGGGCAAGCGCGCGTGCCAGTGGATCCAGGAGCTCGTGATGGACCTCGAGGACATCGAGCATGTTCTCGCCAACCTCCGCCTGCGCGGCATCCAGGGAACCACGGGCACCAAGGCCTCGTTCATGGAGCTGTTCGAGGGTGACGAGGTCAAGGTGAACAAGCTCAACGACATCCTGTGTGGAAAGCTGGGCTTCGGTGGCGTCTATGACATCTCGACGCAGACGTACACCCGCAAGGTCGACCTGCGCATAGCCAACGCGCTTTCGGCCTTTGGTGCCACGGCCGAGCGCATCAGCCTCGACATCCGCCACCTGGCCAACTGGAAGGAGATCGAGGAGCCCTTTGAGGCCGGCCAGATCGGCTCATCCGCCATGGCCTACAAGCGTAACCCCATGCGTAGCGAGCGCATAACCAGTCTTGGCCGCAAGCTGTCGACCCTCAACGCCAACTTCACCAAGACATTTGAGGTCCAGTGAGTCTAACTTGGGCCCCCTTCCCTACCCCCGCGCATCCTGATGCCGTCTGTGCTGGGGGCACTTTGCTCTTTGCTGACGCGAGAGATGGGCAGGATGATGGAACGCACGCTCGACGACTCGGCCATCAGGCGCATCGACATTCCCGAGATGTTCTTGCTCGCGGACGCAATACTGATCTCGCTCGACAACGTGACGGACGGCCTGGTCGTGTACCCAGCCACCATCCGCAGTCGTGTGATGCAGGAGCTCCCCTTCATGGCGACTGAGAACATCATTATGAAGCTAGTAGCCAAGGGCGCTTCGAGGCAGGAGGCGCACGAGGAGATCCGCGTGCTGTCGCACCAGGCTTCACACGCGGTCAAGATGGAGGGCAAGGCCAATGACCTGATCGAGCGCATCCGCGACACGGCTTACTTTGCGCCCGTTCATGCCGAGCTCGACGCGATGCTCGACCCGGCCCTGTTCACCGGTTGCTCCCAGTCCATTGTGGAACGGTACTGTGGCCACGACGGTGCTGTAGAAAAGGCACTGGCCCCCTACAAGCAGCATATCGCGTCCGCCGCCACGGCTGAGCTGTCAGTCTAGCTTGACGACTATTGGGCTGCGAATCGAGTCGCAGGATCAAGGCGCCCAGCACGACACTCGGAAGAAAGGGCAGAAACAAGAAAGCGAAAAAGAAAAAGAAAAAGAAAAGTGCGAAGGGGCTCAACTAGCTCAAGGAGAGGGCAGCCCGGTTGTTTTTAAAGGCCAAATTTTCTCTCCATGCTTTTCAAGGAATATGGCGTTGGGTGCTAGAAAATTTCGAGAGTTTAGTTCACGCGGGAAGGGGAAATGTTGATGCAGGTGGTCAAAAGCAGAACATAAAAATAAAAAAATAAAAAAGGAAAAATTCACTGCGAACATGCAGCAGCAGCAGAGCAGCTCGGCCTGCATTTGCCCAGCGTATTTGCCAGAATCAGCTGCAGGGTTTTCTGGTGCTCCAGCGGAAAGTGCAGGCCCCCGTCTATTGATGTGGCTGCTCGATTGGCCGGCACTGGGGCCTTGGGCTCTGCGATTGCGTGCTGTGATTTGAGCGGGCGGACCCGACTGCCAGCGCACAAGTCATTAGCCCGGGGGGTAGCAACAGCGGACATGCAGCAAAGTGGACTCCAGTCAATGGCAGACTGGAACATGAAAGACACGAGCACAGGCGACTGCGCCTGGCGGCTACTGGGGGGCATCGAGGGTCGCGCCCCAGCAGCCAGACCAGAATCTGCACCCCCCATGCAGCCCACAGCATGCTCAACGTGCTGATTGTGCGAACAGCCGCCCCGAGTCCGCCCGCTACCCCAGAATTTTGCGGCGGGTTTCGGTTCCCAATCACCTCACCCTTTTCCACATTGATCCCTGGCGGACAATCTTTTGGCGCGTTTTTTTTTTTTCTTCTTTTCTATCGGCCAATTTGCTGCGTCCGTCCAAAAATGTGCACGCTGCCAAGGAACGTCGCTGCAGCTAACTACCTCTAGCTCGCTTTGATTAGATCGTATGAGTATGAGGATACTTTTCCTCCCCGCGCTAGGCACGCGAAGACGAGCGTTCAGAATGTTGTGCTGCTACATCCCCTAATCCGGATATGTAGTAGGCAGCGTGCGCTTCGCTCATGCAAAAGACGAACCACGCTTGAGGTGGGAGGATTAGGGGGGGACCGTTCAGAACCTCCGCCGCCCCTCGCTACAGTATGTGACAGGCGGAACCATCGACGCTCGTGCGTCGACGGACTGCGACCCTTCGGCTCGCCTTCGCGCCAGAAGACTTGGGTACTGCTAAAGGTTTTGTGACCGACGGGTGGGCGCCCATCTCGGGGGGAGGCTGGTGTGTCACCTGTGCTGCGTGCGTGGGCTGGTCGGGCTCTTTGCCTCTCCTAGCCGTATCTAGCTATACTACTAGTATCCAGTTATACTCTGAGTAGGACGCCCATGTGCAGCCAAGATGGCCTACCAGAGGCGGCAAAACAAGGATATAGCAGCGCATCAACGGCGCGCGACCTCGCTAAACCGCAGCCTTCCTCGAGCGTCCCGCTCATGTCACAGCGTCCCCTTGCCGCAGCGGTGTTGTAAAGCGTCCCAGCTGTTGCGCCTCCGAGTTTTGAGCACTGATGCGATAAACGTGCAGGGACAGGGGGCCGCACAGCAGGTTTCATTGTGCTCAATACAAATGGAAGCTGCATGTGCCGATGGATTACCGCGTTCGCGTCCTATGTATATGGATACCTAGGTAGATATGTCCTTTCCTCGTCCCATCCATCCTTTCCTGTTGTTTCTCTGCCCTATTTCACATCACTTTCCTTTGCTTCCTCCCTGCACACGTCTTGATACGAAGTAGCCCAACACGGCAATGCACAGCTAGTTCAGGTGAATGCATGCCAGGAGCAGCAAGGGCAAGCCATCTCATGCGCCATAGATGTCTCGATGAGGACTCAGCGCGCCGGATTCTGCAGAGTGAAAAACGGGCTCCTATGCCAGCCGGCCACTCAAAGTTGTTTGAAAGGCATGCTCGTAAAAGCAAACGCGCCGGCATTGCTGCATCGGGCTCGAATAGTCGGGCAGCGTGCGCGAGCGCGCGTGGCGGTGGGTTTGGGCGTCGCGCGACAAGAAACGTCAACAAACGGCGGCGGGGTAGGCCTTGGGAGCTTGGAGCTTGGGACAGACGCAAATCAGCGACCAGCCGGGTCCGCCGACCAGGGTCGCGCGCTTCCGCGGTGCCATTGGCTGGCGGCAGTTCGCGCGCTTGATACAGCATGCGAGTGGCGACCTCGTGTGTTTTGTTGTGTTTTTTTTTTTTTTGCGACGGGATCCTTAGTGGCGCCTGGACTGAACAGGGGTCGGTTTGGCATCGTGCGACCCCACCTTGAAACCCGCCAGCGGGAATGCCCCTCACAGCAGCCCCTCTTGGAGCTGTCTGCTGGCGGACCCCTCAATCCCCCCAGGACGTTCCAATTGGAAAGCTCCATGCCTCTCCCACCGACTTGACCCAGTGGAGGAAGAGCCGAGCTGACGTTTTCTCTGCGTGCCTGCTTCTTTCTCCATATTAAAAGCGTTTCTCCGTTGGTGACGTTTCTTGGCGATTCGGTTGATAAAAAGGAGGAGGCTAGACCGACAGCTGTGGGTGCTTGGTCTGGACGGGATATAGCTTCCTGTCGGTAAAGGTGGCGAGGAGGTGGGCCTCTAGGTGCCGCCGGCACATGCCCTGGACCAGATGGTAGAGGCTGGATGCCTCCCGGCGTCGCTTGTGAAGGTCCGCTTGTTTTAAAGGCAGAGAAATCCTGACCGGCGGCCGCCAGCTGAGAGACGGACGGCACATGCATGCTGTCTCTGCTGCCCCGCCAAGCTTGGGAGGTCCAGGCGAGCGTGGACAGAGGGGGCATCAGTACCTTCGTGTTGCATTCCTTGGTTTTGCCCTCAATGCGTGACAGTCAAGCACACAGACGGGCTGCCGTCCGTTGTCTCCTGGGGTGACCGAGGTGACGTCGGATCGTCCAAGGAATGGCTGTCTGGTTTCCGGTTTGTGGGGATTTTACCAGGCCGGAGCTCCCCCTTACTTGGTTCTTACTTGGTTCCAACACGGGCTGGCCAGGTAGCGGCTGGAATTGGTGTTTGCTTTAAATCCTGCCCCTCTCCTCTGTCCCCTCGCCACCTCTCCATCTGTTCCTCCTCACTTCCGCCCTCGGCTGCATTGCGCCTGCCATTGCCATTGCCGCTGCTCTCCAAATTGAGCTTGTCACCACAACTTTTCTTCGCCCATCAACTACTGTCTAACCAGACCAAGGCCATAGCTGCCAACTGACGCCCCAAGCTTAGCTAGTCCTTACGATACCGCCCAGCCATGGCGTTTGCCAACCATAGCCCCCTGATCGTGGGGATCCTCCTCCTCTTCGCCTTTGCGCCGGGTGTAGCTGCCTTCGGCGCGGGGAACATCGCGAGCATCTCCAAGATTGAGGGCCAGAACTGTGAGATATATCCACCTCTCGCCGGGCCGCCTTGCTACGTAGTGGGCGATGGATCTGACAGGGGATATTTGTTTTCTAGGGCGCCACGGAGATATCGAGGATGCTCTTCTCAAGCTTGTCATGGCCAGCGCCGCCGGCGGCAACAAATTTGGCAAGGTTGGTAGTCTCAACTCCCGCGCGCTGTCCACCGACGCCTAGACAAGAGGGAATGCAAGCTGTACTGACACACGGTGATACCCAGCTTGACGTCAGCCGCGTCTATTTCGGCAACTGGCTCCGCGACTACAGCCAGGCCATCGATGTCGGAACCGTCAAGAATGTCTCGGCCGAGGCTATTCGCCTCCTCTTGTGCGTCCTGGGTTTCCTGACCTTCGGATACGGCTCGCGCGAGTTCGAAGTCACGGCCGACCGTCTTGGCTGCTACCGCCCTGAGGATCGTAAGCTTCTTCCGTACCCCATCGCACATCTCCCAGATATCCCCCACGTCACTATGAAGTACTGACCAGATCCCCTTTCCGGTATCAGACATCGACAACCCCAAGAACTATGCCGATAACCAGGATGCCACCCGGTACGACCGCCGGCTTCGTGGCCCCGTAGACGAGAGCGTCGAGCTGGCTGTTGATGAGGAGACGGGCTTAAAGAACTACATCGCCAACGAGAGGGCTGGGATTATGACCAGCGCCCAGCACGTGAGGAATCTGTTCGGCAGGTGCATCGAGCTTGGGCGCTCGTACGGACGCAACCGGAACAAGGCCGAGCTCTACGAGGCCCTACGGCTGCTCGGCACTGGCCTTCACTGCCTAGAAGGTGGGTTGACACAAGCCCCCGTTGCAACAAAGTGAAGGCTCTTGAACTGACCTTTGACCGGCGGGGATGGGATAGACTACTTCGCCCATTCCAACTATGCGGAGCTCGCTCTGATTGAGATGGGTGAGAGGGATGTGTTTCCGCACGTTGGCCGTAACACTCAGCTCCGGATTCCTGGTGCCCGGCACTCTGTGTACCCTGCTGTCACGGGCACCTTTGGTGGGGTTGACTTTCTGCACTCGGTGACAGGAGAAGGTTAGCGCCCCTTTTTGATTCTACCTGGCTGCCGGCTTCCACGTGGAAATGCTAATCCCCTTGCCAGTGTCGGACAAGCTCACCCAAAACGAGATCCAGGAGCTCGAAGCGACCCTTGACAACAACAAGCGAAATGACAACAGTGGCCTCAAGGATCTCCTTGACAAACTTCCTCCCGGCCTCATCGGCGGGGACAAGAAGGATAGGCTCGATGAGATCCAGGAGAACAACGCTGCCGCTCAGATGGAACAGATGAACGTCTCGCCGCGTGAGCCAGAGGAGTTCACCCGGCAGGTGCAGCAGGTCTTTGGACAGATCATGCCCGTCATCGAGTTCCACGACGAGATTTTCCAGAACATCTCGCAGGCGCTTGAGAATATCCCCATTCTGCCTCAGATCCTCGAGCAGTTCCAGGAGCAGATGTCCATGGTCCGTTGCTACACTATCTTACCGGAATCCTTAGCTACGACACTGGCCACCGGGCCCTTGACGTATGTGGCTAACTATTGGCATAATGACAGTGGGTGTTTACTCAAATCGCGCCCTTTGTTCTACCGATTATCCGGCAGATCAAGAACGAGCTCAAGACGGGCTCCTCCGAGATTATCGAGAGCAGCAAGAACGAGCAACATATCGTGTTTGAGGACGACAATTCGACCGACCCTACACATTCGTAAGTGACCTCCGGGAGTCATGCCTCGGGCTTGGTCTGCTTGGTTTGCGAGCACGGAACTGACAACCGCGCAGGATGCTCTCCAAGGATCACTTCACAAACATCCTGAACGAGGTTGCGGGCAAGACGGCGAAGAAGGTCGTGGAATGGGTGGTGCCGCAGATCATGCAGGCTTGGGACGACCATAACATGGACGTCGGTCGGCTTATGAACCGCATCATCTCGGGTGTGCTTCATCATCCTGCCCAGCGCGATCAGGGACGAGACGGAGCGGAGGAAGGCAGAAGCATCATCTTCCGCTCTGTCGAAGAGTGGTGGAATGGCATGGACGAGGGCGCCAAGGACGAATACCGCCGCAAGCTGTCGCGTGAGGGAGTCGAGAATGGTCAGAACCACAAGGAAGGCCAGCACGATTCGGGACACGGCTGCGGCAAGCCGCTCGGTATGCACAAGAACTTCGAGACAGGCGGCGGCACCATGGAGGACCGCATCGCTCACGCTGCGGCCGGCGCTCTCCTCGGCGGTGTCACATCGGGAATTTCCGAAATCGTGAAGCAAGGCTCAGGGGGCCAAATCAACATACCAGCCTATCAATCCCAGCAGTCCAACTACTCCGGAAACTCGGGAGAGGGCAGCGGCATCAGCAGCTTCATCGGTAACCTCCTGGGCGGCCTCAACAAGGAGGAGACGTCTTCCTCGTCGAGAAGCTACGACCGAGAGGACGGCGGAAACACTCAGTCCTATTCGCAATATGGCCGATCCGACTCGGGCGATAGGTACGGCCAGGCGGAGTACAGCCAGACAGACTACGACGATGGTAGCCAGCGGAGCGAGTACCGCCGGTACGAGCAGCGGGAGACATCTGGCGGGTATGAGGAGCGGTCCGAGAGGCGCCATGAGAGCAACCGAGGGCAGGAGGACGAGGAGGAGGACGAGGAGGAGTCTAGGGGAGGTGGCGGTTTTGGGGACTTCATTGAGGGTGTGGCCAGGGAGACGAGCCGTTGGGCTGAAGAGGACCGTGACCGTGGCTACTAGAGCCTTGACTAAAGCCGTTGCGACATGGCATCTTCAGTCTCTGGCATTTGGCAGGTACACGAGCTCATCAGTGGGAGGACTAAAAGCGCGACTTGGGGGCTTGATATACCACTAAGCTCCTTCTGGGCGGGGAAAGACGATGAGTAGATGCTAGCATCGCTTGGTGCCTGTTTACGGGGAAATAGGCAATTCAACGACATCGGAAGCAGGTCTGGCTGATAAGATGGGAGAAGCGATAGCACATGCCACGAGACTATGCAAAGGCACGCGTAATGGGCTGTCGTCAGAAGGTGGCCGTGCACAATGAGAGAAGGAGGGATACCCAGGCATCATGGAGTGCTAGGATTATGCAAAAGTGAAGAGACATTCTTGTTTTCCCGGCTGAGTGGTAGGGTGCTCTACTACAGTTAGCTTACCCCATTCTCCATCATCAACAGGATCAGCCCCGGTAGTCATGAGCTGGAGGCATGTTTCCTCCACGGGCTATCTGGCCGACTGCCGGCTGCCGACTGTGCCGGAGAGGGCGCACCCTGGAAGATGATGACACTATCTCGAGAGAATCGTTTCCTAACCCTTGGGGATTGAACCGAGGCGGCCGGATACCCAGCCCTCGCTCCCGGCAGAAACGTGCTCTGCCCAGGCCCCTTGCAAGGCCTTATTCACTTGGTGGTGCCACCTCGGCTGGCCATCTTTTCTTGGGACAAGAGTCGGGGGTTGGGAATGGAGGATGACGAGCAAGGAGAATAAAAAAGAAAATACTCAAATCAAGACCGACTCGTCCGGGTAATTCATCTGGGTAATTCGGGCGGCCTTTCCACCCCCCACACACGGGGAGCTCAGGCTCGGCATGGACGGGGTTGCTGGACCGTAAAGGAAAACGGCAGCGATGGCGCCGGCAGAACCCCACCCTGATCGACCTCGCCCAAAAGGGGTAAACGGGACCAAGGCTGGCGTTGCTTTGCGGGCCGGCTGGTCATCTGCGTCAGAAATCCGGGGAGTGTCTATTTTTTTTCTTCTTTTTTCTTTCGTTTTTGCTTTGCTCGGGAATTGCGGCCATGAGCCGCTGGGACTAGGCTGCGCGACCTCCAGCTTTCGTGCTCGCTTGGCTGTGGTATGGGCGGGACGTAAATAGGGTTTGGTTTACCCTGATAGGTCTGCTGGCCATAGTGTTGGTAAATATTGTCAGATATAGATGGGTGGGTGTTGACGGCGGGTGGTGGTGCAAATCAAGCACCATGAGGAGGGTCGACTTCCGATGCGAGTGGGTGGGAGCGGGTAGGGAGGGGGGTCGTGGGCTCTGTCCCCCGAAGATTTACATAAGAAGCGGCAAGCCAGTATAAATGTGATAATCCCTATGCTCTGCTTTCTGCGGGCTGCCTTTCAGTTGCTACTATACGTGTCGCGTCCTGGCAGAGGCTGTCGTGTAAGTGTTGTCCAAACATCCCCCCAATGACGGCTCATCTCCCACTGCAGCAGCGGTTTTCGGGTTACCTTTTAGGAATCCAGCTCTGGCGGAAGTCAGACGGACCAAAAAGAAGAACCAAGCCCAAGCAATACATGAAGGGAAAACATAGTGTTTGGGAAGTGGTGATGTGAATGGAGAACAATGGATACTAGGGAGAAACAGGTCTCATAAGCTAACATGCTCTTGGTCTCCGGGTAGATATAAAACTAAACGAATACCCCCCCACAGGCTCGAGCAAAGCACCCGGGCCAACAATGCAGATTCCCGTCGCGGCACTGCTGGGCATCGTGCCGGCCTACCTGGCAGCAACAGCAGCAGCACAGGGCTCGCAGGGCAGCGGTGCGACGACGAGGTACTGGGACTGCTGCAAGCCGTCGTGCGGGTGGCCCAAGAAGGGGAACCTGGTCAGGGGCCCGGTGCAGACGTGCGACCGGGGCGACAGCCCGCTCAGCGACGGCGGGAACACCCGTGAGCCCGCACCCTCTCTCTGTGCTATCATAGGTCAACCAGGGGATGGCGGTGGGGGGTTGGTCGTGGAGGGTTCCCCGGCGAGCTTGACAAGAGGGCAAAAACAAAGATATGATCTACTAACCATGAGGGGAAAAAAAAACCTAGGTTCCGGCTGCGACAGCGGCGGCAACGCCTTCATGTGCTCTAGCCAGGAGCCGTTTGCCACCAACGCGACGCACTCGTTTGGCTTTGCGTGAGTCCATGCCGCGGGCTGAAGAGGGAGGGGGAGAGTAGCATCCAGTGACAAGAAGGGAAGGGATTTCTGACTTGCAAGCAGGGCCGTCCGGATCGCGGGCAAGCAGGAGACGGACTGGTGCTGCGCGTGCTACGAGCTGACGTTTACGAGCGGGCCGGTGTCTGGGAAGAAGATGATAGGTGCGTTTTTTTCTTTTGTTTATACCCTTACTTTCCCCCCGGATTGGATTCCTCCTCAAACCGCCCTACACAGGGTTCCTGATGAATGCCCGTACTTGCTGACTCGACCGTGTTGAAAAAAAAACCAGTCCAAGCCACGTGAGAAAGCCGTGTTATTCCCTTGGCCTCGATCTCGATATCCGCGGGGACCCGAAGGGGTGGGTGCCTCACGAGATGCTAACTCTGGCGAACCGAAACAGCAACACGGGCGGTGATCTCGGTCAGAACCACTTTGACCTTGCGGTACGTCTTTGGGATTCAGCGCTCCTGACAAGCAAAGGAGTGAAAACAAGGGCGAGACTGACGGGCTTTTGTCAAAAACCAACAACAGATCCCTGGAGGTGGAGTCGGGATATTCAACGCATGCACGAACCGTAAGTCGAGAGTTTTCCTCGTGCCCCCCTCCGTGTAGTCGACAATACACATTATCCCGATCGAAAGGGGGCAGAGTCAGTTCTATAAACAAAAAGCTCTCTCTCTAACCCGTCACTGCAACCACCACAACCACCCATCAGAATACGGAGCGCCCTCCAACGGCTGGGGCGAGCGGTACGGCGGGGTGCGGTCGCGGGCCGACTGCAACAGCTTCCCGGCCAAGCTCAAGGCGGGCTGCCTCTGGCGGTTCGACTGGTTCGGCGGGGCCGACAACCCGGGCGTCAGCTTCAGGCAGGTCGCGTGCCCGGCGGCGCTCACGGCCAAGAGCGGCTGCGTCCGCCAGCGCGACGTCATGGACCAGACGCCGACGGGGCCCGAGTCCCTACCGACCTGGACGCCGGGAAGCGGCTAGGCGAGCCGCAGGTCCAGGGTTGTTGTTGTTGTTATGAGGGGAGATGCAGATGCTGTGGGAGGAGGGAAGGGAGGGAGGGAGGCCCCTTGTCGTCGACGCGGAGCCAATCTGTCCTCGAAGCCTAGTGCTCCTGGGGATGACCTTGGAGCCAGAGGGGCGATGGAATCACGGAGACGGGACAGAGAGTGCCGAGAGTGCCAGAGAGTTGACTTCGGATTGCTCACAGGAGTGTAGGTTTGCCGAGACTATAGTTTACCTGACTATTCGAACATCTGTTTACGACAACAAAGCCAGGTGCATACACGTCTTCCCCTCACAGCGTTTCGAGCATATATCCATCTCTCTCCTTGCGCTCCTCACCATCGATTCGGGGCTCCTCGTAAAGCGGGAATGTGGCGCCTGGCTTTCCGAAACGTGGGCACGCGCTCGCCGCGGCTTCGTCGTTGGCCGAGGGGTAGCGCCTGGTGTGAGGCGCGAGTCAGGACGCTGCCGCTTTGTCGCTGGCGTCGGGGGTTTGTCGGTCCGGTCGCCTCGTTTCGATGCCCGCAATCAAATCCGCACAGCGTCAAGTTGTCTGTTGCGCTCCTTGATATTTTTCTTCGTCCCGAGCCCGGGGCAGTCGTCGAGCCTTGATTAAAACCAGGCTGAATTGCATGTGTTGATCGATAGGTTGCATGTTTTGACTTGTCGACGTCGCTGCCTAGCCTACTGTTGCACGCGCCATGTTTCTAGCAAACAACGACCATGGGTCCGAATCCACCTTACCTTGCACGCTTGGCATGATCGACCGGCTCTAGGGAGGCAAAAGGCAAACAAGCTTTCTAGTGCCCACCTCCCACGGATCAGGCACGCGACCCACGACTTCTTTTTTACCCCGTCACCGTGGCAAGCCATTCCAGCTGTGCTCCTTCCAGTCGTCCTCCTGGGTCTATCTCTCTTTTGGCTGTTTGGTGGCTTTTCGTGACGGAACCATCGGAATCCATATCGAATCCCATTTCCACAAGGCCCCCAAGTAAAGCTTGTCAGACCTTGCTTCGTCATGACGGACCTTGGTGGGCTTGACTTTGGGTCACTGACTGGCGACGGCCTGCTTGCCCGGCCACTTTGCGACACAGCGGGGCTCTGACATCGATTCGAACCGTGGGCTGTTGCTACCCAAACAAGACAAAAAAAGAAGAGCCCTGGTCGCATAGCAGGACCGACCTACGGACGGCACGCGGCTCATGCCCCATAGTGTGACGATGCAACGACGCCAGCCCCCACCCTCAAAGCAGGCGTTTGCTGGCTGGCCTGGCCCGTTCCCAGCCTGACTTATTCTCCTGCAGCATCAATCTCCCCCAGGCCCTCGGACAGATTACCCTCGTGCCCGGGAAGAAAAAGAAGAAGGAGAAAACAGACGACGAGTTGGGGCTGTGTACTTGTGTACTGCCATGCACTGTCCCGTCCGTCTTGTGCTCTCATCGTCTCATTTGATTATTTTCGGTGTAGCGTCCCAAGTCCTGGGCCAAAGCTTCGCTGTTTTGTCTCTGCTCCCCGCCCTGCTATTGGCTCAACTGCTGAGTCGGCGAGCTAGGGTGCCGGTTGTCCGAAAAGCCGCCCCACCTGCTCGGCGAAAGGGCAGCTGCCTGGGGGTGCTGGGCTGTGCCTGCCCACCACTTCCACCAAGGACGAGTCGCAGATTCTGCGCTTCTGCGCTTCCATGCAGGGCAGCCAATTTCTGTTTGCACTTCCCTCGCGGCCTGACGGGGTTCTGATGCAAGGGAGGCCCCAACGTCCCATTCCTGGGGCTTTCCTCGCTTCCCCCCTCCCTGCCTCCTAGCGCCCCATCCATCAAATGTCTTGGCACTGAAATACCATGCCCTCCCCCCAGACCAGACCAACCGACTGCTCTTAGTCCCCCAGCTTCCTCTTTTGACCCCCCAAGCCAGACGACCAAGCAATACATACTATCTAGTAGTCGAGCCAACTCCGTCTCCTCGACCTTCGTTCCTGCAAGAAAAAAAGCCAAGGATCGACGGGGCCGCCGCCTGTTCTTTGTCCCACCCTCCCTCTTTTTCTCATTCATTTCCCCCCCTTTTGAAATACAATCCTCAGCTTCACCCCTCTTCTTGCCAGAGAAGGGCTGCAGCCACCGACGCCTTTACCGACGCCAAGCCCAACGGCCCACGCCATTTTGGCTGCTTCTGGGTGCTGCACAGCCGCTAGAAATGTTTGTCTAACGATACGCAGCGCTATGATTAGAGCATGTGTATGTTGTATCTCTCCCCTCTCGTCCCTCTGAGTCGGTGTACCCTCGTGGTGGTGCAACGAGGAGCAGCAACAAGGAAAAGTCAAATCCAGAAAAAAAGACAGAGGAAATGATGAGAATAGAAAAAGCCAAGACGGCAGCTCCCCATCACACACATCAGCCCTGACAGGCACCATCGCTGGTCGGCTGGTCCCGCTGCACTTGGCGATTGCCAAGCCGGCTGGGGCGTCCGAGACACTTTGTCCAAACCTTCTTCCCCTGCCCCTCATCTCCACGCTGCACCGCCAATCAACATCACTGACTCTTGTTTTAATGCTCTATACAACAGCCCTCGCCGATATCAGCAACGTTGTGTAAGTTCTATTGCATATAGCTTCCTCTGCTTTTTTATATATCCACCATCCCTCTCTACCCGGAACTCCATTCCAGCGGCATTGCATGCACCACTAACACGCTTCATCCCTCTCCAAGTCTCCTACTTAGCAACCCGGCCTGGTATGGCCACAGCTCCGCGCAGAGCACTGTAGTCCAGAACATCACCGCCTCGTCGGTAGGTCCGATCCTTCGCTATCTCTCCTTTCAGGGTCCCGTTCACTTGCTGACTCGCTCTGGTCAGAACCGTCTGGCCTACTCGTCCCACTTCTCTCATCAGCAGGTGACCACCCTCGCCGCCGAGTACATCAGTTCGTCCCAGGACATACAGGGCCTGCTATATGTCCCTGACCTTGGTTCCGGTGACCCCTGTCGGGATATCGTCCGGCCCTACCTTCCCGCCCTCGCGGCTCGCAGGGCTGATCTCCCCCCGGCCTTCATTAACCTCATCGGACTGGCCCCATGGGTCACACCCCAGTGCACCCAGTCCTTCCTCGCATCCGCCCGGAAGGATCCTATCAGAGCCTTCATCTTTTACCACCCAGGACCCAATAATACGTTGACGCCTCCGCCGGCTTCTTCGGCGGCGTGGGACCTGGAAGATGATGACGCCTGGCGTGTCGATAACCGCTTTCCAATCGTTGCCGTTCCTGGCAGCGTTGGCGCCGAGATGATGAATCAACTGAGCCTCTACAGCGGCAACATGACCACGGTCCCTTTTGGCCAGATGATCTCGGATCTTTACGACCCTAGTGAGGAGGATTACCTACGCATCTGGACCCAGGTCAACATCACCAAGGACAGGAAGCTCAACAGCATGTGGATCTTGATCCCGGTCGTCCTCGGACTTTTACTGAGTGCCTTTATCGGCACGTCTCTTACTATGCATCTAATCCAGCGCCGTCGCCGCGCATCCCTTCGCCGCCGTGTCCAGAACGGCGAGGTTAATCTGGAGTCCCTCGGTATCACCCGCCTGACTGTGCCGATCCACCACATCCAGACCTTCCCACTCTTTACGTATAGCTTCAGGCCCGATTGTTCAATCGAGATGCCCGCAACTCCGGACCGGGCCAAGCTGGAGCCGATATCGCCAGTGTCACCAACGACGGGAATGAGCGATGAAAAGAGCAGCAGCGGCAGAAGCACAAGGCCCAACGGAAATTTCTCAAGCCTCGACTATCAACCCAAGTGTTACATATGCCTCGTCGAATATGTGGACCGCCAGACGGTGATCCGGGAGCTCCCCTGCGGACACATCTTCCACCCGGACTGCATAGACGAGCTTCTCTCCCGCGTGAGCTCCCTGTGCCCGCTCTGCAAGGCGTCGATGCTGCCGCCCGGGTACAGCCCGCGCATTACCAACCAGATGGTGCGGCGCGAGATGTCGACCCGCCGGCTGCGCAGCAGCATAGACGCCGGCGCCGCGGGCCGCGCTCGCGCCCCGTCCGCGCGGGGGCTGAAGCGGGCGAGGCTGCTGGGGTGGTTGAGCGGCGTCGTGGACCGCGTCGCTCCCCCGAGTAGTACCAGTACCGCTGCGCCCGCCGTTGTCGCGCAGGCGCCGGCGCCGGCGCCGCTGCCTTCGGTCGTGGTGCCGGCGCCGCCAAGGCAGGTCTACACCCCGATGGCGGCGGCGGAGCCAGAACTCGTCGCCCGGGGCGAGCGACTGCCTCCGAGCTACGAGCCGCAGACGCCCGTCGCCGGCAGCTCCGTGATGCATGGGTCTCGCCACGGGGATATGTCGCCGCTCATCCGGCAGGAAATGAGCCTGGGCCCGGGCCGTGGGAGCCCCCGGGGGGATGCCCTCCCGGCCTCATGTAAGTTCGGTCCGCCCTTCCAAAGGGGCATGACTCACGCGCAGATACTCGAGTGCAAGAGCTAACAAACTTCACTGCCCGCCAGAGACGAGAGCTGCTGTTTAGTCGAAGTTTGCCCTTCCGATGATAGCGGACCTGTTTTTCTTATTCACCTGTACATTTTTTTCTCTTCCTTTTTTCTTTTTACACCACGGCGGTGGTGGAATTTTTTGGACTATTTAGCAATGAAACGTATACCCCAATGGCGACTTATCGGCGCTATTTCTTTTCCGACGGCGTTTTTCTCTCGTTTGTATTTACTTTTCGGATACGGGTTTGGGACTTGCCGAGAAGCATGTACCCACTAGCTAGGTTAGGATCGCGGACTGCAAACCTGATACGAAGGGCTACCTCCCTCATGCCTACCACCCTCATGCCTACCACCTACATGGACACGTTGGCATGCACGTTTCCGACGGCGACGCTTATTTTCGAAATGTTCATGTTCATGGTCGGGATTCCCGACACCCATAATAGATGGCGATACCTTGCTTCCGTCCAGGCCTCCACTCCACGCCACTCCATTGCGTCTTCCTCGGAACACCGTGAAGGCTAGGCTTCGAGGGAGGGGAGAGCGCCATCCGTGACCGGCATCTATATACTTCCTCCACCCCCCATCTTTCAGGAACACAGAAATCAGACAGACGCCGAGACTCCGAGCAGCAAATGCCACGGCTACCACCCAATACCTGGGCCGACAGCCAGACTAGGGCATGAAAAGAAACCAAATAACCGTTGTAGTTTTGAAATTCCGATGGGAACCGGGATGGGGAGGGAAATGACGTAGAGAAAATGCAGGAAAAATACAACCCACCGAGAAAGAAAAAAAAAACCAGCATCTGTCCACCTCAATCCTCGGCCTCCTCGTCCCACGTGTCCTTCTCCTGCTTGACCAGGGACGCCATGACCTCTGGCTGGAAGATGCTGCTCTCGGGCCCGTCGGCGGCGCGGGGCACCCTATTTATCTTATCGTCTTCAAAGATGGGGCCGATGTTGTCGATCCAGCGGCGGCGGCGCTCCATGAGGGTCTTTGCGTGGTCGCCGATGCCCGGACGCGCCATGCCGGCTGCGCCGCCGGCGCCGTTGGTGGCTGCCGCCGCGGCCGCGCCGGGCCTGTTCTTCTTGGCCTTTCCCTTGCCCATGGTCCTATTCCGCTTAAGGTAGGCCTGCTGCACCTGGGTGTCGAGGTCCTCGAGGATGGTGGTGTACTCCTGGTGCGCCATGCGCTCGCGCACCAGCTCCATGAGCCGCGCCTTGCGCGCCCCGTTGACGAGCATCTGGTCGCGGAGCCGCGCCTGGAGGAGTCGTAGCCGCGCCGCCACCTCGTCATCGTAGCCCCCGTCGTAGTCGGCCGTCATGGAGGCATCCGCCGCCGCCGCCGCCGCCGCTGCGGCGGCCGCGGCTGAGTTGGCCGCGCCATTAGCTGCGCCGCCTCCCGAGGACGAGGATTGGCCGTTGCTTCCGTTAACCGCACCCGCCGAGCCGGCCCCGCCGCTGCCGCCCACGACGATGCCGTTAGCGGCAGCCCCGCCGCCAGCAGCCCCGGCCGTGGGACCGCTGGAGTCCGTCAGAGGGAGGAAGCCGATGTGCCTCAACTCCTGCTTGAGGCGCTCATCGACCTGGGCGTAGTCTAGTTTTGGGTGCGACGCCTTCTTCCACGCCTCCGACGAGGACTCGGGCATGTAGGTGGCGGGCGGCTTCTGGCTGTTGGGCAACATGCCGCCGCCCATGCCCATACCCATGCCCATGCCGCCCAGGGGATCGACACCGTTAAACATGCCGTTCATCTGCGCGTCAGAGATGAAGCTGGGCTGGCTCACGACGGGAGCCGGCGCCGGAGTGCCGCCGATGGGCACGAGCTCGCCCGTGGCCGAGATCTCGAAGCCGCCCGAGAAGCTGCCGTCGTCGACGCTGGGGCCGGGGGTGCCGACGCCGTTAGTGAAGTCGCCGTTAACAAGAGGCTTGACGTCCCCGTCTGGCTGTTGCGTGCGTCCCTCAGGGCGCATGGCGCAGAGCAGACGCGATAGGAGAGGGCCGACGGACAGCTTGTCGGTCTCGGCAACGTTATCGTTCATGTGTTCTATGCTACCACGCGGCAAGTTTGCGGGCAGCCTGTCGCGCGCGCCGGCTCCCGAGTCGACCGCCATGGCGCCATCCTCCTCGGCCCAGATTTCCGTGTAGTGCTTGCGGCCCCGCTTGGGCATGTCAAACAAGGTGGAGCGATCACCGCGCTCGCGGAGGAAGGTGAGGTCCTCTTCATTGAAGGGCCTGAAGTATGGCTCTGTGTAGGTCGAAAAGGTGCTGAAGTTGATCTGGTTCGAGGCTTTACCACTGCTGAAATCCTTGTCGGGCGGGTCGCCCGCTATCAGGTCTGCCAGATCGCTCTTGGGATATGTTGCCACGCTGTATATCTCGCATATCTCCTCGTGGCTCATGCCGTCCGTGACGGGCAGGATCTCGTACACGGTCGGGTCGGGGAATGTTGAGGGGTCCTCGCCGAAGGTCTGGTTTGCTGGTACTGGTCGCGGGGGAGGCGCGCCGTCATCGTCCGAGGACTCCTCCTCTTCTTCCTCCTTGACATCATCCTTGGCATTTTTCGTTTTTTCGTCAACCTCCATGGCGCTCGGCGACATGGTTTCGATGGGAGGCGACAGCGAGGAGTTGGACGAGTCGTCCCTTGATGCTTTCCTGACTTTGCTGCTTGGATCGCGGAGAGGGGAAGACCGTTCTATTGTTTGTAGTGGGGCGAGTTCAGTCATCAGTCCGGGCCGGGCGTTGTCGAGGAAGCCACCATGACAACAGGTGTTGACGAAAATCTGAAGTGCAAGTGATGCGCGTGAAAAAGGCATGGTCGGGCAGATGGGCAATGACGTCTACTCTGCACCGTGCTCTCAAAAACACATGCAAGGAAGGGGGGATACAGCAGGCCACCGACACCCAAAAGACAGACAGCCAACGTACCTATATTCGTGTCATGAGGCGCCAGGCTATCCTTCTCTTTTCGCTTCTTCTTGTTGGCGCGCCTTTCTTGGGCCGCACCTTCGGCCTCGCGTTGGAGGCGCTCCTCCTCCCTGATGCGGTCCATCTCCACGCGATCGCTACGCTTGCTGGAGAGCAGGCGCATGCCGCGGTCGCAGCTGACGCCCCTCTTCTCGACGATATCCTGCAGGCGCTGCAGGCGGTTGCCGATGTGGTCGAGGGCGCGCGAGTCGGGGATGACGGGGCTGGCCGCGCCCGCTCCCTGGTCGAATAGATCCTCATAGGTGATGTTGCGCAGGATCTCGAACTTGAGCTCGACGAACTCGGTCTCGATCGTTTCGACGGGCGGCAGTAGCGACGGCTGAGGGGTGGCGGCAGCGGCGGCGGCAGCGGAACTGATGCTTGGGGTGGTATTGCGGCTCCGATTGCGCGCTATGGAGCCGGCGCCCTTCTTGCTGGTGCCCTTCTGGCTAGAGGCTGGCGGCATCCTGTCGGCGGCGGGCTGGTCGGAGTGAGAGAGGGCGTTTCGTGGTGGTCTGGTCAGCCTGGGAATCCAGCGCTAGCGCGCCTCGTGGTGCGTCACAGGGCGACCCAGGCAGAGAGCAGCTTCAATGGCGTATGCTGCAGTCAGATGGTGCTCGTCGCTCGATGGGGGTGAGCCCTTTCGATGAATGATAGATGAATACTGTTGGCCGCGTTGGACAGCGTCGTCGCGCCGCATCGACTAATTGACGATGGAGTACTTGGACAGGGGTTCGTCTCTCATGCAGAGTGAGTGGGGTGCCTGCCTGGTGGAGCTGCGGATTGGATCCAATGACGCACCGCGCAGGAGCACAGACAGAGCCTCCTGGACCTGCCCTGAACCTTCCCCGGATTCCTGCCTTAACATTGAAGCTTCTTTGTGTGAAGACTACTTCTCAATTAGGCCGTCACGGCCGTCAAGACTGCCCGCAACGTAATCATGACCATCTGAGCCCATATGGTTAGGTGATTGATTGCTCATTAATATTTTCAGATCCTACACAAACAGCCATCGCATTCATTTCGTATCCCCGCTAAACAATGCTTTATTCGTGCCTGTTTAACCATTTCTCACATTACCCGCCGAATTTCGTTGTCCGCGCAGCCGACACAGGCCAGTCACCAGTCCCAGTCCGTCCAAGACTATGGGCGCCAGCTATGCAACTGCCAGATCACTCGTTTCCGCATTAGTAAAGTCCTTGTCAGTTATCAGGAGAGTGGTGTATCGGAGCAATCCAAGCCTCGTTGTTGAAAGTTGGCAGAACCGCAATCACAAGTGCCGACAAGCGGGCAGGATGCCGTGAGTTATCGGCCAAAAAACCAAAACCTGATTGCCCCGTTTACGGAAGAAGTCGGCGTCGGAACGGATTCTATTGTCGTGTCGGTCTGCTCTTGGGCACAGCTTCAGCAATTCACGCTGCTTCAACCTTACCCGTGTGCTTGTTCTTGCTCCTGATTAGCACAAGCGACTTTGTTGTGGGGGTCCAACAAGGGGCTCCACAGCTCCTTGAGACTCATGTGCGCGTCCAGGCCTGCACGACGCCCTCCCTACCTTTCCAGACAGACTCTAGCTTTGGTTCCTCCACTGCTTAGATCTACGCATCTCGACATGATCGGCTACCCATATGGGCCACTGGCGCTCGCATATTCTTGTATTCTTGACAGCTGGGCTGCACATACCCCGCGAAGCACCGCACGCTACCTATCTATGTAAACACATCATATCCCCACTCCAACTCCCCTGGGAAGCACAATTCCCGGATCGTTATCCCTAGCGGGCCTTGGCCTAGAGCGCCCGGGAAAGTAGTGCTCCACAGTGGACATGCGCCAATGGAATTGCCGTCTCGAGGCAGGCTTCCCCAGCCGCCCTGCTACACGCGCAAGAAAGGCATTCCTCACCCTTGAGTATGCGTAACATGTGGCCCCATTCATTGGCTGACATACATCTATGGCTACTCACAACGTGTCGAGCACTCAGATGCTGGCTTATGCCTTTTCTGGCTCGTTATGGGTCTTATCCATCACTCATGATTCGACAGTCTTTCTTTTCGTATTGCCGAAGTTTCACTGTCCACAGAGAGAAGAGGTGGTGTTCAGGAGCCCCGAATCAACGTCCCATCTGCTTGAATCTCCTCCCTTCCACCCACTTGGACCCTGGCTGCATCCCGCAGCGATGGCGTGTGACAGTCTTATGTTGCCACCCTCCTCTTCAGTCGAGAGGCCACGGGATGATGTTGGACAGACGGAAGGAATGTCTGGTCGTTCAACCCCTCCGATCACGGGGTAGAGCGGCCGGTATATATACCAAGTTACCCCCTCGTATTCTCAGCTTCCCCGGCCCTCTTCTCTGGGTAGACCTCCTCAGTACCCATTCAACACAAACGCAAGTCTCTCGTTGTTTAAACGCACTCAACCTGCGTCTCAGTATGAGAGAATACCATGGCTTCTCTTGGTGGTAACATTTTGCCCCCGGATGTCGGGGTCAAGCTCATATTTTCTACTCTGGGATTGGTGCTATGCACTACCCTCGGCCTCTCCAGGTTTATTAATAACAAGACCGAAGACGAGACCCCGGGTCTCGTCCGCGCGTTCCTGCTATTCTTCTACTCGTGCTTTGTCAAGCCGCACCAGGCGGGTGACAAGGGCACCCAGCAGGATGCGCTCGAGTCCTTCTACAAGAAGCAGGCGGGTGTCTACGATGTGACACGCAAGGCCCTTCTTCAGGGCCGCGAGGACATGCTGGCGCTCGCTGCTGCGCAGCTCAACCACAAGGCTGCCATGCAGCAGCCCACCAGGGGCAAGGGCAAAAGCCCCGAGAAGAGGATCTGGGTAGATGTACGACTGACCCCTTTGCGCTTACCCCACATGGGCCTTCAAGATGTGCTGGACTGTCCTAAAGTCGCGTCGAACATGCCGCCGGAAACGGGCTAACGATACAAATCCGAGTAGATTGGTGGCGGTACGGGATGGAATATCGAGGCTATGAACCGCTTCGTCAAAGTCCCAGAGTACTTCTCCAGCGTCTACCTCGTTGACTTCTCGCCCTCGCTGTGCGAGGTTGCCACTCGCCGCTTTGCCCGACTCGGCTGGACCAACGTCAAGGTCGTCTGCGAAGACGCTAGGCGGTTCCGTCTCGAGGACCACGAGCGTAGCTCCAGGGGCTCCAACCCTTATGGCGCCGACCTTCTCACCATGTCCTACAGTCTGTCCATGATTGTGAGTCTTCAACTGACTGAAAATGGCGCGACGCGAATTGCGCAACCCAGGGACCTTATTCTAACACCCGAATAGCCTGACTTCTACTCCGTCATCGACTCCCTCCGAGCGCTGCTCGCCCCCGATGGGTTCATTGGAGTCGTCGACTTTTACGTCCAGTCCAAGGCAGACTTTAGCTTTCGCAACTACACAGGAGGCCTGCTGGGCCGCCACACTGGGTACCCTAGCAGGACATTCTGGCGCGCTTGGTTTGACCTCGACAAGGTGAACCTCGAGCCAGCGCGGAGAGACTACTTGGAGTACCTCTTTGGGACGGTTCTCAGCGTGAACTTCCGTAACCGTGCTCTTGGTTCGATCCCCTACCACATCTGGGTTGGCCGCCAAAAGCCGGTGCGCCTCGGCGAATCTTCCGAAGTGACGAATGTGCCCGACGGGATTCCTTGTGCCGACGTTGCCGTCAGCCCCAAAGCCCACCAGGTTGCAATCCGGAACCGGGACGCAGGTCTTCCTCTCCCTTCTTTCTTCTACCAGAACCACCCGTGGCGCATCTACTATGACGACCAAGAGCAGAAGCACCTGCAGTTCGGGGACGAGTACATCTACGCCTTCACATGGGAGGACACACGCGTCGACGAGCGGCTCCTCAAACTCACGTCTGATGATGTGGTCCTGGCAATCACCAGCGCAGGCGATAATGTCCTATCGTACGCCCTTCAGTCCCCTGCCAAGATCCACGCAGTCGACCTCAACCCGAACCAGAACCACCTGCTCGAGCTCAAGCTCGCGTCCTACTCGGCGCTGCCGTACGAAGACTTTTGGAAGATCTTCGGCGAAGGCAAGCACCAGGACTTCCGCGCCCTGCTGATTAGCAAGCTCTCGCCGCACCTCTCCAGCCGCGCGTTCCAGTACTGGCTCGCCAAGTCGCACGTCTTCACCAGCAGGCGCGGCAGGGGCCTGTACGACACGGGCGGCTCCAAGCACGCCATCCGCGTCTTCCGCTGGGTCTCGCACGCGTTCGGCTGCCGGTCGGCCGTGCGCGCGCTGCTCGAGGCCAAGACGCTGAACGAGCAGCGCGAGATCTGGGCCTCGCGCATCCGCCCCGCCCTTCTCTCGCGCCTCGTCAGCGGCCTCGTCGTCAGCTCCGAGACGTTCCTCTGGTCCGCCCTCGGCGTGCCCAAGCACCAGCTCGCCATGCTCGTGGCGGACCACGCCGAGTCCGAGGCTGTCCGGTCCGGCCGGGCGGCCGACACGCGCGCGGGCGCCGTCTGGCAGTTCATGGCAGACACGCTCGACCCCGTGGCGCGCGAGACGCACATCGCCGACGACAACCCCTACTACCGCGTCACCCTCGCCGGGCGCTTCTCGCCCCGCTGCCACCCGGACTACCTGGCGCCGCGGGCGCACGCGCGGCTCTCGCGGCCGGGCGCCCTGGCCGGCGTCCGCCTGCACACGGACGAGCTGGATGTGGTGCTGGGCGGCCTGGCGCCCGGGTCGCTGACCGTGGCCGTCGTCATGGACAGCATGGACTGGTTCGACCCCGTCGCCGACCGCGCGGCCGCGGCGGCCCAGGTCTCGAGGCTCAACCGCGCCCTCCGGCCCGGCGGGAGGGTGCTGCTGCGGTCGGCGGGGCTCAAGCCCTGGTACGTGGCCGAGTTCGCGGCGCTGGGGTTCACGCCCAGGCGGGTCGGGGCGCGGCGCGGCGGGAGTGGCGGGAGTGGCGGCGAGGCCGACTGCATCGACCGGGTCAACATGTACGCGTCATGCTGGGTCATGCAGAAGACGGGGAACCTGCCGCCGCCGACGCCGACCATGGAGGTGGCGGGGGGCGCCTCGGTCGCCGGTCTTTCCTTGCCGTGAAATAACAGGGGGGAAGATGGTGGGAGCGACGGGAAAGGGATGGAAAAATGGGGGATTTGATATCCAACATATCGATCATGTATGTTGCGCTGGCTGGAATTGCCCCGGCGTGTCTCGGATTATCGTTCGATAGCTCTTTGAGAACTCTTTGAGAAGGTACTTATCTCCTTTACACCCAGATGAAAATGGGATGCGTGTGGTTCCTCCACATAGGAATATGCTCCCATTCCCACTACTACACCACCCGCTGGGTTCATTGCTCATTTCCTCCCCTTTCCTTCTCCGACAGCAGCCGTGGTCATCTGGATTGATCCTGGAAGTCTTTCCCGCCACGTTGGATTGGACAGTGGTGGTTTAAGCGCCATCAGCACGGGCCACACGACCACGCCTACCGAGTTTGCCTCTACTGTGCTTCACAAATATTATACTGTACTCAATCTCTTCCATGTCGCAGCAATCTTGTCCCCAACAAATCCCGCCAGCACGGCCAGCGGCGTCTTGGGGCTCATCAGGTCCAAAAAGGGCACGTCGACCTTGAGCACGGTCCAGAACCAGGTGCGGTACTCGGCGGCGATCATGCTGTCGAGCCCAAAGTGCGGCAGCGCCTTCAGCCAGGCCGGGGTGGCGAGGTCGAGAGCGCCGTCTACCCCTTTGCCGGAGGATGAGCCGTTGCTACTGCTGTTGGCCTGCTGGCCGGTGAAGAGGGCGGCGGCGAGGAAGCCGCAGCGGGGGTCCTGGGTCGTGTCGCTCTCGACGGCGAAGCCCCTCCTGATGAGCCCGCGCAGGTCGAACGGCTCCAGGCCCGTCAGGATGTGCGCCGGCGCGTTGTTGTTGTTGTCGTCGTCGGTCGCGCCGGGCGGCGCCAGGGCGAGGTCGACGACCTGGGGGAACTCGCCCTCGCTCAGGGGCTGGATGCCCTTGTGGAGCAGTAGCGCCTCGATCTCGGGGTTCTCGTGCAGGTAGCCGACCTCGGAGATCATGCCCAGGCCCACCGACACGGCGGGCTTGCCGCGGCCCCGCCGGTGCCGCGCAAAGGCGTCGAGGAAGCCGTTGGCGCTGCAGTAGTTGCTCTCGGTCGCGGTGCCGACGCTGCCGCTGACCGAGGACGTGAGGAGGAAAAAGTCGAGGTCGGCGTCGCGGCCGCCGCGTGCCAGCGAGCGGTCCAGGTTCCACGACCCCTGCCACTTGGGCCGGACGCCCGCGTGCCAGGCCCCGTGGCTCATGCGCGAGAAGAGGGCCTCGTCAAGGCCCATGGCGGCCTGGATCACGCCGCCGATGGGCCGGCTGAAGGAGGAGCAGGCGTTGACGGCGGCGTCGACGTCGCCCTGGCTGCACACGTCGCCGCGTACGACCTCGACCGAGGCGCCGGCGGCGCGCAGCTTGGCCACGAGGGCCTGGGCCTCGGGCTTGTCCCTGCCGGAGCGGCCGAGGAAGATGAAGTGGCGGGCGGCGCGGGACATCATCCACCGGACCCCGTGGCGCTGTAGCGGTGCAGGTAGTCGGGTCCCGCGTCTGCATGGTCTGGTAGTCGACGGTGAAGTTGCCCACGTACACGGCCGTGTCGGAGCCGGCCGCGGACTCCATCGAGAGGCCCGCGCTTTCGAGGCACTCGTACGTCACCTCGAGCAACTTGCGCTGCTGCGGGTCCATGTGCGTCGCCTCGAGGTTGTTGAGCCCGAGGACGTCGTTGTCGAATTCCCGCACGTCCTCGTCGAGGAAGTAGCCGCCGTCGGCGTCCATGGCCCCCGCGCGCTTGCCGTCCGGGTGGTAGTACCCGTCCATGTTGAAGCGCGCGGCGGGGACCCGCCCTTGCGTCGTCCTCTTGGCCTTGAGGAGGTCCTACAGGTCAGACGGCGAGCGTATGCCTCCCGGGAGCCGACATGCTGTTTGTTTTTGTTGGTTTTTGTCTTGTTAAATGTCACCCTTTTTTCCCGAGCTCATCCAGGGAGCAGCCGAACGTACCCATGCCGACGATGCAGGCGGGACCATCCTCCAGCCTGTGGGAGGTATGCGAGGAGCCGCCGTCGCTCGACGTGTTCAGGTGGCTGGTGGTCGGGGAGGCTTCTGCCATGTCAGGCGATCCGCTGTCGCCGTCGGAAACCTCGAGTTCTTTGATGGCCATCTTCTTCTGGTCTTGGATGGTCGCTAGTCCAATATTGTTAAGGTGGAGGTCGTCATCCACTATCATGGTCGGCATCCTGCCCGGGGTTTGAGGGTATTGGCAAGGGCGTAATCTGATCCTATCATGGGTCTGATCTCGCTCTAGGGGTAGTAATGCAGCAGTCGAGTCTTGACGTGCTAGATATCTGCTGCAGAGATGTTGCCGTGACCCTCCTGAGCCTTCTCTTTTTAAGTTCAGTTACCGTTCATGTTTGATGCCATCTTACTCGATGCCAGCCTTTCGGCCCCTAGATCGGTGGCTTATGCCCCAGGCGGAGGATCAACGGGTCAGATACACCAGGGTGAGGACTCTGTCGGATCTGGTCCAATCATGTATATTTCCGCCTGGATATCTGAAGAGGGACTCTGCAGCCCAGGCTGTCTTATCGCTTCGCCCCAACTGTGCCCACCTTGTGCACTTCATGGCACCAGATACCCGGGGCCCGGGAAAAAACAGAAATCCCGCAGCAGGCATGTACTGATGGGGAACTGGGCCCGTCTCCCATCGCCGTCTGGTTTTCGGTGTTTCGGGCATGAGCTGGTTATGTTTCGGGGCCCTTTGACGTTGGGGCCGCGGTCCTGCATCCCCGACGCCGTCCGACTTGTGCGGGAAGGAAGGCTCCACATACATCCCACTCTGTATTGGCCGACCTCGATGTTGGAGATACACGCACCCTTGGGGCTGAAATTGGCCCCTGAACTGGCTGGGCGGGCTATATTTGTATGAATCCATAGCTAAGCGGCCGATGCGCTCCAGTGAGCCGCACAAGGACGTAGGCCCACCACACCTCAAGGTTCTCCTACGGAAAGATGTATCATGCAGTTTATAGACCGGATTGCTCTGCGACCGAGTTTGCATTGTGCCAGGCCGCAACCATGGCAAACTGGATCTACATGGGCCCCGAGGAAGACGGACGGGCGGTATTCGAGCATCTCCTCTCACTCGAGGCACCTCTCGCGGCCGTCCAGACGGTTCTCGTGGCCCGAGGCTCATGGAATCGCACAGACTCGACACTCTGGACGCGGCGCTCTGCCAGGCAGCGGGCGACCCCGTTGTCTACGAGACCAACGTCTGGCACCTCGATGCGCCCACGCACCGGTCGGTGTTCGAAAAGTTGGGGCGCCTTCTACCCGGCGAGCCTGGGGGGCAGCGAGATGGCGCTCGAGATGTGGCCGGACCAGGCTATAATGGCGGCCACCCGATGACGCGACGGCGTGTCCGTAGAGGGAGGGATGTCGGGGCCAACATATTTGTCGCTAATCAATGTCCCCTCCCCCTCACCCGGTTCAGTACGCTTACAATTCGTCCGTCCGGTTCGATTGGGTTTCTGGGCCAGCCCGGACAGCCGCCGTAGGGTCGTCCTGGCCGAGGCCGAGGCCAGGCTTGGCTGCGAGCTCCGCGACGACTTTGCACGGAAGGATTGCAAGCGCTTCGCGGTTGGCGCCTTGTTTTGTGTGGCGATACAGGCCCATAACCTCTCGAACCTCATTTGCATTGCCGATCCTTGTGGCTTGCCCATGAACTTGGGGCCGGGTGCAGCATGGCAAGCTGGCTTTGCAGTTCCACAGCATCAGTCCTGTAACCACTGTCTCTAGCCGCCTGGCATCAGCCGCATTTATCTACCCTGCACGCGCTTGCATTTTCTGCCATCTTTCACACACCCATACCCACCACCCAGTTACACCGGATGGCCGCCTCCTGCTCGGCCAAGGGAACTTGGCTGGCCGGCCTACCTATGCAAGCCAAGAGGCGGCTTTTGGTTAGTGGAAAGGCTGGGTGGGGGCTGAGTTGGCAAAAGTGTAGGTTTTATCTGCTATTTAGGTAGCCTTACCTACTACCCCTCGGGACCAGACACCTCAATTTCTGAACGCCAGACAGAACACTTCATACACAACTCCTTCCACTTCCTTCCCCTGTGCTCTTCTAGCTTGGCTTCGGCCCGGAATTTGTCGACTCGTCCCAGTTTCTGGTCACATAGGTTGGTCGTTCAGCCCACGATGGACAACAGGCAGTTCGACTTGATCGTTGGGATCGACTTCGGAACCACAGGTGAGCAAACCCATTCCTTCCTTGAAGCCCACCTGTCCATTGGCATGCAGACCCCTTATTCCTCAGTATGCGAGGCGTGACGAACTAACAAGCGGTCAATAGGGACGGCCGTAGCGTATGCCAAACCCATTGACAACAAAGTCAGGACCCTAAAGTCCTGGCCTTCCAGTAAGTGACGAATCAGTGAAATGCCTACAATAATTGCGGCTCGGGTCTATCAGGTTTCCGTCATGCTAACACTTGGATCCTGTACCACAGCGGTTGCAGATGCCAAATTCGACAAGGTTCCGTCAGTGGTCGCTTTGAAGAACAGAAACGTGGCAGCATGGGGCTTTGGCGTCGACAAACTGGAGATGGAAGACATCTACACTACCGACTATTACAAGCTATTCAAGCCCCTCATCTGCAGCCGGGACGAGCGAGAGAGGCGCGATGCAGAGATGTGCGTGCGCATGTTCCTGAAGGAGCTCTACGGACACCTGAGGGAGCAGCTCGAGGGCGAACTACCGCAGGACAAGGGGTGGGCCAAGTCCAAGATCAAGTTCCTCTTCAGCTACCCGACAACGTGGGATGATCCCGCAAAGAAACGCTTCGATGAACAGATCAGAAAGGCAGGCTACCCGGACGAGTCCGGACATGAAGTTGAGCTGCCTCTTGACGAAGCAGCAGCATCCATGGTGCAATTTCTCCAAGGCACCAACTCAGACGACTTGCCCAAGAAGAACGAGCATGTTCTGGTTGCCGACATCGGCGGTGGGACGTCAGACATCGCCATATACAAACTGGGGGAACTCGAAGGCCGCACCGCCAAGGAGCTCGAGTCCGTGGTGTGTCACCAGGGCAAGAACGTCGGGTCCACCCGGATTGACGAAAGCTTCAAAAGTCAGCTGTGGCCCGAGGTCAAGGAGAAATACCGGGAGATTCTGCGAAAACAGCAAAAGGAGATAACCGACGACGACTTGACCCAACTAGCCGAAGTGGCTGTTTTTCACCTTGAGCACGTCGATAGCTACAAGTACCAGAAGCACAAGTACGGCGAGCGATCTCGCACGGTTCAGAAGCCGATGTTTTGGCTCTGGCTTTCCGGGCTTACCGGTGACATCCCGGCCGTCGACGGCAGCGAGGGAGCGGCCAAGATACGCATTGAGATCCGCAGGGACGAGTTCTTCAAGAAACCTTTCGATGAGCAATGCGGCAAGGTCTGGAAACAGTGCGATGCCCAGATGGCGCAGCTGAATAACGTCAAGACCATCGACCGCATTGTGCTCGCGGGGGGCCTGGGCAGCTCCGCGTACGTCAAGACCAGTCTCGAGACCAAGTTCCGCAGTCACCCCCTTTCCAAGAACGCCAAGGTGACCCAGATCGCCGACCCAGCTCTTGCCGTGTGCCAGGGCCTAGTGCACGACGAGCTGCGCGCCATTCACGGGTCCCCTTACTGGGTGTACCAGGCAGCCGCTCGATACGGCATCCAACAAGGGGCAGAAAGGGACAGCACCAAGTGGTTCCTCAAACATGGAGACAAACCGAAGGTCCCAGCCTCGGTCGACATCACTCATGACATAGAAATCGACCAAAACGGCCGGGCCCTTGACCTCGACCTGAAGGTCGTCCGAATCCGGCAACCGCCGCCACCCGCGTTGAGAAGCCGAGCGAATTGGCTCCACAATACCGAGCCAGTCCAGGACATCAGCTCCTGGGTCAAGGTAAGAACAAAATGAGCGCAGTAGTACTTGACATATACAGCGAGCTAATACAGCTCTCGTCTCAGCAATCTCTACCAGGTGGCCTGAAGCGACAGCTTTTTTCCAAGAAGGCGGAACTCACCATCAGGGCCACCATGTGGCGCGAGGCAATCGTGCTGACCCTCCACGCCGCGAGCCATCCGCCCGCGAAGCAGCACGGCAACCCCCTCCACATACTTGTGCCCTGGCACACGGACCCTGCGCCCAGACACTCCGGGCCCCCAGGATCTTCGCGGTGGAGGTTGACTGCGAAACAAAAACGCGTGCTGAAAGCAACAGTCGCCGCACTCGCCATTGGCGCGACTGTAGCGACCATTGGAGGCTTCATCCTCTCCGTGGTCCAAGACAGAAAGAAGGCTTCTGAGGAGGCTGTCAAGGAGGAAAAGGAGGGTGCCGAGGGGACGGAAAAGAAAGCTGCCCAGGGGGTTGGCGGTGGTAGTGGGGCACCTGCTTGTGGCAGCGAGCCTAACGCAGCACAGGGGGAAGTTCCCAACGATCCAAACGGCACCGAGCCGGCTGGTCCTATCGGGGTAACTCCTTTCGAAGAATCTCCTACCGGGGAGTGCGGACAGAATGCGGCACAAGAGGAGGTTGTTGAAGATCCAAACAGCACCGAGCCGGCTGATCCCATCGAGATAACTACCCTCGAAGCACTTCCTGCCGGGTATGGGGGGCCTACCGAGGCACAAGGGGAGACTTTTCAAGATGCAATCAGCACCGAGCCGGCTGATCCTGCCGAGGCACCTGATGCCGGCGACGGGGGGCTAAACGTGAAGCAAGAGGAGGCTCCTGAGGGTCCAAACTGTACCGAAACAGTTGACCCTGTCGAGGCACATCCTGCCGGCACGGCGAGCCGGACGCGGTACAGGGGGCAAGCTTCTAGTGATCCAAATGGTACCAAGCTGCCTCGCCATTTCGAGGCACTTCTCGCCGACGCCTCATGGGGATGTATTGGGGTAAGGGACGCTGGGCGAGCGCGGAGTTTGTAGTTTGCAGGTGGAGGGGGCGAGATTACATTCCTTTTATAAAACTACTCGGTGCTCTTCTTTGGCCTCCTTCGATAGTATTGCTATTTCTTTGACAGCAGCTGCTGATAGCCAGGGCGTACTGGTACCAATCCGTTTAAACCTCACTTGTTGGCGTGTATTTCGACCCCGATGTCAGCCGCGATGGGCAGGGCTGATGCCTATACAAACGCCGCGCTTGTGCACTGGATGCCACCGCACTTTTCAGTCACCCGGTTGCCGCGGCCAACGTGTTACTCTTGATGGAGAAACGAAACACCGGGTGCATACAGGTGGTGTATGCCGAATGCACCAAACAAGAGCCTTCCCTAGCTGACGGCGTTTCCTATTCGTATTTGGGGGCCAAAAATGCAGTGGTAGCATATTGAGGCAGAGGTAGGTAGGTGGTTGATTGGTCTTCGTTGCTTCATCGCCTGCGGCTGAGCCACCCACGCCACCGCCCTCAACAGCGTCTCTGATCTTGCGTGACTGGATGCCTGAGCAGCCTGACCCAGTCCAGCCGGGCTTTCTCCTCCCCCATCGTGCCCCATCTCTCCCGGCTGGGGAATGGGCCTTTTCCTCTCTTCAAGCCTGGGCGCATCATTTCCCAACTGCCAGAATCGCGCGCCGAGGTCGAAATTGTCCCACGACAGGGAACTCAACTTGAACATGGGTGGTAGTTCGAGTTCTGCCACCCATGTCGAGCGATCCTCCAGGAAAGAGGCGGCGGGAATCGACCTCTTCCCCATCTCGCCGAGGGCCCGCCGCTCCTGTCCGGCCTGCTGCCCCCGCTGAGCCTGCAGAACCCGGTCGTATGTGTCAACCGAAATCCCAGCTGGCGGCTTCTCTCCAAGCCAGCTGCCACAGATTGCTAATGCTCCATCCGAGTAGGCCGATCCAAAAGGGTCGCTCTCGCTGCGATTCGCCCCACTTCCCGCGACGACTTCGAGATTGCCATCATTTGTGCCCTTACACAAGAAGCTGACGCCGTCAAAGCCTTGTTCGATGAGAGGTGGGACGGCCATGGTCAGGATGGGTATGGCAAGGTCGCTGGCGACCCCTACTCCTACGCCTGCGGCCGCATCGGTCGCCATAATGTTGTGGTGCCACATATGACGGGCATGGGGAAGGCTAACGCGGCAAACGTGGCAACCAATTGCGGGCGGAGCTTCCCCGGAGTCAAGATCGCTCTTGTTGTGGGAGTTTGTGCTGGCGTCCCTTCAGTGTCTGGTGGGCCGGGGCAGAAGAAAGATGTTATCCTCGGCGACGTCATCATCAGCCAAGGGGTCGTCCAGTACGATTTCGGGCGCCAGACCGATGCGGGATTCTACACCAAGGTCACCCCTTTGGAATCTTTGGGCAAGCCTATCACGGAGATAAGCTCCCTTGTGGCGATGCTGAAAAGCAGGGACGACCGCAAAAGATTGCTGCAGGACATGTCAGAGTATCTGGATGTGCTCCAAGGCGAAGAGGATCTTGAACCCGGCTACCCGGGTGTCGAGCAGGACTGGCTCTTCGAGCCGTCTTACCGCCATACTAAACCTACCAAGAAGTGCGAGGATATCTGTGACCGCACCAAGCTGGTGCGCCGCGACCGCCTCCAAGGCCCCAACCCGCCAACGCCTGAAGTTCACTTTGGCTTGATCGCCTCGGGAGACAAAGTGATGAAATCCGCCAGGCAGCGGGACAAGATTATCAGGGACCACAACGTCGTGGCTTTCGAGATGGAGAGCGCAGGGGTATGGGACGTCATCCCTTGCGTGGTCATCAAGGGCGTCTGTGATTACGCCGACAGCCACAAAGCCAAGAGTTGGCAAAAAAGAGCTGCGGCTGCGGCGGCTGCCTGTATGAAGGCGTTTCTTATCAGGCTGGAGCCTTTCAAGATACGTGGTACGTGACTCTTCGTTTGTTGATTCTTTTCGCAGCAGTTGTTCCCTGTTTAGCGCTAATATGTCATGAGCACACACTTCAGAGGCAGACGGGGGCGGATCGTCAACCTTTGCGCAGCCGCGTGCGACCGAGGCAGGCGCCTCTGGCAATGCTCGAGATAGCTACACTTCTAGAACGAACGTGCAGAATCCCTGTGAGTAGCATATACTGCGCAATATTCCGATTGTCTGCTAATATTACTTCATTGCTACCCCAGGTCCTGTCGATTCACGAGAGCTCCAAGCTTGTCTACAATCCCTCAGCTTCCCGCAGATGACGAATCGCTTCCACGACATCCAGCCGGCCGAGGATAACACATGTCTTTGGCTGCTTCGGCACAGAAAATATCGGGCCTGGGCGGATCTTGAACACTCCATCCTGTGGATCATGGGCAAGCCTGGTGCCGGAAAGTCAACGCTGATGAAATACGCCCTCGACAACCACCCCCAGCTTCCTGGCGTCGCCAAGGATGATATAGTCTTCAGCTTCTTCTTCCACGCCCGTGGCCACGACCTGCAAAAATCGCCGCTCGGGTTTTGGTTGTCCCTGCTGCATCGATTCCTTGAACTTGCCCCCGCACCTCTAGCTCATGTGGTTCAGACCTACCTGCGGAAACAGGCAACCCATGGGAAGCATAAGGAAGGAAAATGGCAATGGCATCAAAGCGAGCTGCATTCCATGTTCAAATCGGTGCTGCCGGACATCTTGCGGGCCCGCCGCGTCCTGATCTTCGTGGACGCGCTGGACGAGTGCGGCAAGGACAACGCCCTAGCCCTGGTCAGCCAGTTCAATTCCCTACTCCGTGGACTCCCCACCGACGCAGGCTTCCGGCGGTTCCACATCTGCTTTTCCTGTCGCTACTACCCGATCGTGAACCCGTGCGGCCGCCATGGAAACCAGCTTGAGATCAACCTCGAAGAAGAAAACAAAAGCGATATCCGGGTTTACGTCCACAGCATAATGTCTGATCGTCAAGAACAGACCCAGCAGCCCACGGTCCAAGAGCTAATAGCGAGCCGCGCCAACGGAGTGTTCATGTGGGCACGCCTCGCCGTCGAAAAGGTTCAGGAGCTAGCTAGCGAGGGCCATTCGGAGACCAAGATCAGGAACTCGATCAACCTTCTTCCCAGGGAGCTGGAGGAGGTTTACCGCCAGCTCGCCAAGGACATGGAGCCGTCCTCCATCAAACTGATCCAGTGGATCTGTTTTGCTGTGAAGCCAATCACGCTGGATGAACTGCGGTGGGCCATCATCATCGAGCCCAACGATCAGCGCCGGTCTTTGCGAGAGTGCCAGGAAAGCGAAGATTACATCGACAGTGCCGACAGGATGAAGCTGCAGCTACGAAAGCTCAGCCGCGGCCTCGCCGAGGTCTCACAACCCGACCCCAGCAAGCCAGGCGTTGTCCAGTTCATCCATCAGTCCGTCAAGGACTTTTTCACTGCCAGGAATCCACCAGCTTTCGACAAGATCTCAACTACCAATGGATCGATTCAAGAAACACACCGCCAACTAGCTATGATATGCATACGCTACTTGGAAATGGAGGAAATCGAACCGTCAATAACCAACAAGCTCTGGGACTTTCCTTTCCTGTATTACGCCACGACCTCGTGGGTGGCGCACGCAAAACAAAGCCTTTCTGAAGTTTTTGCCTGGCCGTCAAACGCTTGCATTACTATGTGGTTGCGCATACACTACAAACCCAAATTTTATTCGTTCGACTGTTTGGGGTTGGGGGCCAATTTGGTACACCTTTTATCAAAACATGGATTGGCGAAAGCACTCGAGGTTGTTTTGCCAAACTCGAATCACACTATCGACACTCCAGATGTCGATGGCCGGACGCCGCTATCATATGCCGCAAAAGAAGGACACGAGGCCGTAGTTAAACTACTGCTCGCCACAAGCATTGTCAAGATCGATTCGATGGACCAAAACGGGCAAACGCCGCTATCATATGCTGCAAGCGGCGGGCACGAAGCCGTAGTTAAACTACTGCTCGCCACAGGCATCGTCAACGTCGATTCGATGAGCCAGGGCGGGTGGACGCCACTATCGTATGCTGCATGCGCCGGGCACGAGGCCGTTGTTAAACTGCTGCTTTCCACAGGCAGCGTAAACGTTAATTCGGGAACCAGTTACGGTCGGACGCCGCTATTATATGCCGCGAAGAAAGGACACGAGGGCGTTGTTAAACTGCTGCTCGCCACAGGCAGCGTTGACGTTGATTCGGGAGACAGGCACGGTCGGACGCCGCTATCATATGCCGCAGAAGAAGGACACGAGGCCGTTGTTAAGCTGTTGCTTGCCACAGGCAGCGTTGACGCTGATTCGGGAGACAGGTACGGTCGGACGCCGCTATCATATGCCGCAGAAGAAGGACACGAGGCCGTTGTTAAGCTGCTGCTTGCCACAGGCAGCGTTGACGTTAATTCGGGAAACAGGGACGGTCGGACGCCGCTAAAGTATGCCGCGGATGACGGGCACCATGCGATCGTGAATCTACTTCGACTTGCTTCCCTCGGCTAAGCACCTTGAGGTGAAGGATCCGTAGCGCTGCAGGTGGAAAGTGAACTGAACGAGGGAGAGGCGGCTAACTCGGAGCCGAGGACGGGTATAAAGGTAGAACCTGACTCCGAATGTCATGGGTTTGGGCAAGTGCAACCGGGGGGCTCTGGATTGCAAGGTAGATACAATTAGAAATATATCCAAGGTCGAGTTTTGATCCTGTTTTTCAGTCAATAAGTAGGTGTTTTCCGTCCATTATCCATCCGTCACTCAGCAGTCCAGCTGATACACTATCTGCCGCCGCTTCCGCACCCGGCATTTGATCGCATACACCCACTCGTCGCAGAACAGCCACAGCCAGAGCAGCGCAAACCCAAGAGCAATTGTAGCCGTGACAGCCAGGACGGCGGTACTGACCCAACGGCAAATGGACCACAGGGCTACGTCCTGGACCGCAGAGACCTGCTCAACCGCCAGCGCAACCTGCATCGAACTGAGTGCCGTCGACGCCACGGCAAACGCGAACAGTACGGGCCCGTAAAATCCGGCAAAGTAGTCGCTGTACTGCCCGTGCAGCCTCTGGAAGTTGGCCCTCCCGAACAGGAACGGCGCGTAGAAGTTGAGCCGCGACAGCCTGAGCTCGCCGTAGTGGTACCTGGGCGACACGTCGGCGTCTCGGACGCGGTCGAAATTCGCAATGAAGCGGCAGAACTCTGGCCACTCGACATCCCTGGGGACGAGCCGCAGGTGGTCCTGCTTGGCCATGTCGAAGTCGGGCTCGCGCCGGATCAAGTGCCGGTAGGACCGGAGATATCCCTTGGCGGCCCTCAGGGTGAGCTCCAGCCGGGCGTCGGGCGCCGCGGGCGGCCGGCACAGGAGGAAGCACTCCCAGAAGTGGTGCGACAGCAGGTACCTGGGGATCGGCTTGACGAATATGCGGTCGTGAATCCACACGAGGTGCAGGCGGGGGTCGTCGGTGATCAGGATGTCACGCCCCCTTATCCTCTGTCGATGGAGCGGCTCGACGTTGGCGCTGGACTGCGTCGACATGATCCACAGGCGCGGCGCGACCGCTTCCAGCTCCGAGGCGTAGAACTCCTGGTAGAGGACCTCTTCCACGGAGGCGCGGTCGCTCAGCGACACGCAAGGCCAGCCTGGCAGGCTGTCGTTGCATCCTGCTTCGCGGTCAAGGTCGGAGCATAGCTGCTGCTCCTTCGGGAATGGAGGCGATGCTCTCATGGCTGTGGCTGTCCTTCTTGCAGGCAATAGGTACGATTGCAGAGGATTTTAAAGGTGTGCTAGGTAATGTGATCAGGTCGGGCGAGGAACCCTCCACCATGATTGTGCCTAGTGAGGGTGGCATTAGTCCTGCAACAATGCCTTCGTTTGAGCCATCGGACGCCACCATGCAGCCTTTCCTGCAACCCGTTATTGATACCCAATCGGCGGCGGTGGTGGTGGCATTAATCGGGCGGACTGCATTAGGGAGAGGTGGCAGTGAGCTCGACGCCGCCGCCCCCAGCCAGGTGGCCTTCGTCGGTTGGTCGATGGCAAATACACGGGGGGCACAGCCTGGAGCCTTACCTCGATCTCTCGGCATTTCCTGCGGCCCGGCCATGTTTCAATCATGGTATTTCAAGGGCGCTGCCGCACTCGCTTTTCCCCGGGGGCTAACGCCGTCCATACCCACCGAAGCCGAGGGCGGGAATGCCGGCTCTGAACTCGCGAGGCGAGGTTGCAACATTCGTGACGTGATTCTACTACACTCGCGGACAGAATGGTCGGTTCATTTGGTTCACAATTGATCTACTCTGTGCAGCCAAAGGCCCCTGCTGACGAAAGACCAGGTGCGGCCTATCACCGAGAATGATCTGGGACTCGAGGTGCTGTACGATGGGACCACACAGCCTGGCGCCCATAAGCCCGTCGAGTAAGGGGATTCCGCGCCACTGGCTCTAAGTGATGCTAACTTTTAACCTTCCTTTAGCATCGTCGCTGTCCATGGGATGGGCGCCCATCCCGACGACACCTGGTGCAGTCAAGTCCCCGACCAAGACCCTCCGACTTATGTCAACTGGCTGAAAGACAAGGAGTTTCTCCCGGCCTCGGTACCTCATGCCCGCATTATGCGATACGGCTACAGCTCGCAATGGTTTGGAAAGAACGCTACGAAGACCAAAATGTCCGATATCAGCCAAGCGTTCTTGTTCGATCTGGATGAGTTCAGAGAGGTCAGTTCCACTGCTAAAATTATATTATACTGCGCTTTTTATACGTTATACCAAGACGGATAACCCTTTTCAGGACAAGAACCGGCCACTCATACTTATCGGGCACAGCTTTGGTGGCCTCGTGCTTTTGAAGGTATGTGCTTCGCCGTTGTATTTTGTATGTATTTTACGGGACTGACATGGAGATATAGACGCTGGTCGATGCGAATATGGAACCAAAGCGCTGGCCGGGTACCTACGACTCGACAGTAGGCCTGGTCTTCCTCGGCACGCCCTTCCGCGGCACCCACGATTCGCTCTCGCAAGGGGAGGTCCTGCTGAGAGCCTGGCAGCTTTTCGCAGCAGAAAGGCCTGTATACTCGGAAAATTTAGGTATCCTCCGGGCGGGCGGAGAGCCGCTGATAGATCTAGTGGACACGTACCTTCGTGTCGCCCGGAAGAGCCCGATGATGCCAAGGGTGGCATGCTTCTACGAACAAAAAGCGAGCGAAATTGGCCGCATTCTCGGCAAAGACGCCGGCACGGTACGTACCACTTGTCATGTAGGTGTGGTGTTTTACCTAACATCACGAAATTGGTAGGGAATACAACCGGTCATCCTCGTCGATGAGACTTCAGGAAGCCTCGACCTGAACGACAAGTCGGACAAATACGCGTTGCCACGAACCCATTTTGACATCCATAGGTTCGGCAGCCCGCGTGAACAAGCGTTCCGCCAGGTGCGGAGCGTGATTCGAAAGATGGTCGATGAGGGCCGGGAGATGGTACATTCTCAATGTACGTAGCTTCGGTAGCGAAACTGTCTCGAGAATCTAGTTTTGATTTAAACACGAGCTGATAAATTACAGGTGATGAGAACGACAGTTAGTTTATTCATCCCGGGCCTATTACTGCTGAGGAAGCTAACGATAAATAGAGCGTGGATGCATCCAATCCCTCTGCTTCCCCAATATTGACGCTCGTCAGCAAGACATTGCTTCCGCCCATCCCGGAACCTGTGATTGGCTTTTCCGTACCGACGAGTTTCGAATATGGCAGACCCGTACAGACCTCACAGGCGACCAAGGAGTTCTCTGGATCAAAGGGAAGCCTGGGGCAGGGAAGTCGACACTGATGAAGCATACCTGGGGCCACTGCAAGCAAGCCTTCGAGAAATACACCAGAGCAGCATACTTTTTCAACGCGCGAGGCGTTGATCTCGAAAAGACGCCTTGCGGTATGCTACGTTCTCTGGTATACCAGCTGGTCACCCAAGAACCTTCCACGCTCAGACGCTTCCTTCCCATTTTCCGCGACAAACGGGAGAAACATGGAACACAGTGGGAGTGGCGGGAGTCGGAACTGAAAGAGTTTCTGCTCTCCGAGATGCAACACGACCAGCCAAAGCCGCTACTCCTTCTTGTGGATGCCCTGGACGAGTGCAGCGAGCCACACGTGCGAGATGTCGTCAAATACCTCCAGGATCTGAGCGACACAGCAGCCACCAACGCCAGGATTCTCAACATTTGCCTATCGAGCCGCCATTACCCACACATCAGCATGCGAACATGTCAAGAGCTGGTCGTGGAAAGCAGCTGGGGACATGATAGAGACATCGCTGCATACGTCCGTGGGACCTTGATCAAACCAGGCGGCGAGCTTGAGGGCGCCCTGATCGGCAAGGCATCTGGGGTTTTCATGTGGGTCGTTCTTGTCGTCGCCATGCTGAACATAGCATACGACGAGGGCAAGGTTGAAGCCATGCATCGCACATTGCACGAGGTTCCTTCCGATCTCGACGATCTATTTCAAACGCTGCTCGCAAGAGACAAGCCGGACAAGAATGAGACCGTCCTCATGTTACAGTGGGTCTTGTTCTCAAGGCGACCGTTGACGGCGAAAGAGCTTTTCTATGCCACACTGGCTGGAACGAACGCCGAGAGCCAGGGCACTCCAGATCCATCAGTGATAACACCAGCCGACATCCGACGGCGTATCACCAACTCCTCAAGAGGCCTCATCGAGGTACGCAAAAACCGGGACGAGACGGTTCAGTTTATCCACGAGACTGTCAACGACTTCCTTCTCCGGAACCAACGGCTCGAGAAGCTAGATCCGGCCCTCGAATTAAACCCCATCGGTGCCAGCCATTGTCGATTACGCGCAATCTGCACATCGTACGCTGCTAGGGTCGTATGGCAACCGGTGGATAGCGCAGGACAGATGGCAGTCTCTGGATCTCGCTATCCATTCATGAATTATGCCGTATCTCGTTTCATCCACCACGCCGAAGCAGCAGAGGTAGCACATGTCGGGCAGGTCGACGCTCTGTGGCAGCTGACAGAAAACCATGCTGCTATGGAGCTAATACAAGCCTGCGATGCTGTTAGCAGGCCGCGTGTTCGGTCATGCTCTAAAAAGGTCTGGCTGCTGTGCGCGGCGATCACTGGAGGGCTAAGTAAACTTGCAAAGGCTATTATACTCGAATGGGGCGGCCATATTGGTTGCGGGCACGAATCTTGCGACAAGCCGCTTCAAAGAGCCTCACACAAAGAAAATACGGAAATAGTAGCGCTGCTACTCAGAAACGGCGCCGATGTCAATGCCCCGGCGAGGATTTACGGCACTCCGCTCCAAGCAGCCGTATCTGGAGGAAATGTGGGAATTGTGGCGCTGCTACTTGAAAACGGCGCCAATTTTGTTGATGCTTTGAGGGGGCATTACAGCGACGAAGTCGGAGAAGTCGCAAGGGCAAGAAACCCGGAAATGTCGGCGCTGCTAGTTGAGTATGGTGCGCGATACTGACGCTTTCGATGGGTAGCAACGATCGCCCGCCTCATTTCGAGTGTGTTTTTATCGGCCTAGAGGGTTAGATTTTACCCTACAGCTGTTGTATGCCGTGAGATAAATGCCGTGTGATTGCCTGAAGGGAATGAAGACCATGTATTGGCGGCTTTGCCAATAGCAGCCCGGAGAGTTGGCATGCCAAAGCATAAAGCAGAAATCGGAAACCGAGGCAAGCTGGAGGCATAGAAGACCTTGGGTACGAAAGGAAAATTTACGGGAAGCTTTCCAAGGCCATTGACTTGGACCGTCAATAAATGGGAATATCGCTCGTTGGTTGCAAGTTGATTGGACAGGCGAAGCGGCCAGGAAATAAACCAATCCTCGGGCCAAGAGAAGTATTCACAGTCTGTAAACCCCAAATACTATCTTGGCAAAGGAGATGGCGGCACCGGTGCTGACGGCTTAAATTAGGCAGGCACCCATCCACCGCGTGTAAGCAAATTCCCTTCCGCGCCGCTGGACTGTCACTTGCAAATCTTTTCCTCCCATTAATACACGTATTATTCTCGAGCGCATACGGCACAACCCGCCTGCGTGGGATCTGCCGTGAGATCCCAAGTGCAAGGGGAGTACCAGGGAAGTGGCCAGGAACCTGGTCGCGGCCCTAGCTGACATCTTTTACGTCGAGGCCGACACTGAAAATCCAGGTTCGAGAAGCCCCGGGCTTGAGCGCTGACGGCACGGCAGTCACCAAACCGCCGGGCCTGGCAAGCTGCAAAGCTAGCTCGGGCAAATGGGCGATATACGACTCGCAGCCTTCCGTAGCGAAGCCCGCAGCCACTTCGCCAGTGATGGCAACACCATCTTCCCGCCCTTTGGGAGCCCGGAGTCCGGCGAGGCTGCCCGTTGGTCTGTCAAGGTATCTACCAGCCTGGCTGCAAGAAAAAAATATTTTATGTCCGAGCGAATTGCAACCTTTAAACACCCAAAGAAAGGAAAAGGCCAACGATTTCTCATGCAGTTAGCGTCCGGCTCCGAATAGCTTGTCCAGCAACCCCCAACGCCAAGGAACATAATCTCACCGGATGTCTGGCTACCTCCGTCTGGGTAACACAAGAAGGATTGGGAGGCAGCCTCGAAACGGGTGGGATCGGTGGTGGCGTGCCACGGTGGTTTGTTAACTTTGTCCTTCGTTGTTCCACTTCCCAGCCCGTTTGTCCTCCCCTCCGTTGTCCCCTCTTCCGTCTTTCCCACTTTCTTTGATGCCCACTATCAAAACGATCAACACCCCTTCTCAATCTTTTATTTACTTCAACATGCGGATCTTGCCATCGGCGCTCTTTCCTTATCTCCTGTTAGGGTTGGGGAAAACCCAGGAGCTGGCAGTCGAGGTTCCTACCAAGGAGAACTTCTTGCGACGCGAGGGCCATGCCGTGGCCGTTATGGGAAACTACCTTTACATTGAAGGCGGCGAGATCTCCCAGATTGTCAACGGAAGTGATCAACCACCCCCTCCTTTGACATACCCCTACCCAGGTCCGTTGCCGTTTCAAATATCCCCTGTTTCCTTCCTCTTTCTTTGCCAAGTTTAGCTAACGGCCGCTGTCGGCAAAACCTTCGTTATAGTCAACAAAACCCTCGCCATCACCCTCAACAAGTCCTGGAGGACCGACACTGTAACCTTCGAAACGATCGATAAAGGCTCCCACTCGACCGTGAGAGGGAACGTGCTTTGGAGTCACCCAGATGGGAAAAGACTATACAGTTGGGGCGGCACTGCGCCGTTCGAGATTCCAAACACCGATTCGATAACCCCAAGACTGCGTGTGTTTACTAAAGATGGCGGGCCCGGGCCTGGTGGAAAATGGGAATACTCGGGAGTCCCACCCCTCTCGCGCGAGCCGTACATCCTCCGCACCGACTTCGGAACTGGAGCCAGCTGCAACGGTGTGGGCCTCTACATGAGCGGTGCGGGCAATCGAGGATCTGACAGCGGCATCGCCACCAAGTACGGTAACAGCTCCGGCCCCTTCGCAGTCCAGGGCCTCGTCACCTACAACATGAACTCGCAAGGCTGGACCAACGAGTCGCTGTCCAGGGACGGCGACCCCGCGTTCGGTCCGCGCAGCCGCCCCAACCAGCACGACGGCGCCGCCGTCTGCCTGCCCGACAACGTCGGCACCAGAGGCGGCGGCCTCGCCTTCTTCCTCGGCGGCTGGCAGCCCCACACAGTCGGGACGAGGGACCCCCAAAGGGTCACGTTCCGCGAAGTCTTCTTCTACGACGTCGCGACCCAGAGGGCGTACAAACAGGTCACCTCTGGCGAGCCGCCGGACTCGGGTGTCGGTGTGTGTGCCGTCGTCGCCGGCGGGAAGAAGGCGTCGCCATCCTCGTACGAAATCTTTCTTGTCGTCCCCGAGGCCCGCGACCCCGGTGCCGTCTACATCTTGACGGTGCCTGGGTTCCACTGGTTCAAGGTCCCGTACGAAGGCGCGACCAGGGACCTGAACCGAGAGCGGCACCGCTGCGCCGTCGACAACCGCGGGGGCCGTCAGATGATCGCTCTCGGAGGGAGGGCCAGTACTCCGCAGACAGTTCCACACTGGCTGCAAAAGGACCCTTGGATCAACGGGCTCAAGGTCCTAGACCTGACGAGCTTGAGGTGGGGGGACGAGTACAACGCCGATGCCCCTCCCTACGAAGTGCCTGACAGGGTCAAAGAGTGGTATGCCAAGGAATACAAGTAAGCGTCGTCGTTTCCCTCCCCTGAGAGCGCGTCTACTCGGCTTCCCCTCCACCGAAAAAGCAACTGACGCACCAGCACACGAGACAGAGGCTTGGACTCGATCAGATGGAGCGGCGACGGCAGCATGAAGGCGCTTTTCTCCTCCATGCCCGCTCCACCGCAGACTCATCGCAGGTTCCGCAGCAGCCAGGCGACGCGGTCCCCGTCGGGGCCATTGTGGGAGGTGTGGTTGGAGGCGTGGCCGCGCTGGCCGCCGCGGGTGCGCTGGCTTGGTTTTGTCTCCGTCGCAAAAAGCAACGACAGCAGCAGCAGCAATACCAAGGACAGCCCGCCACGGACACCTCAACACACGAGCAGATCGCCATGCTGAGAACGAACAGCCAGGGGCAGTGGCCCAAAACACAAGGAGCGGGCGGGACTCCGCTAGAGCTGCCAGACGGCGAAATCCCATACTCTGGACATGCTCATGAAATGGCCTCACCTCCGGCATTACACGAGCTTCCAGCATCGCAGCGTTAGTGTGGTTTGCAAATATTGAATATTACGGCAACCGTGGAAAGCGGGCGGCAGGGGGCCTGGGTTTACAGTCCTGCCGGATTCAGGGCCAAAAATCACAAGTATTAGAGTCGTCGAGGGTTGGTGACGAAGGATCACAGGCAGCATGTCAGGAGGTGCTGGGTAGCGGGCCCGACACGGCGAGCAATTTGGAAATTCGCCTCTTTTTTCATTCTGCATTTATTTCATAGATCTGTTTCTCAGATATATCTCTTGTGCAAGGCTTCCTGACTGTTATAACACTCCAAAGCAAACATGCTTCTCTGGCAGTACATCAATACAAAAACCATTCGCCCAAGGAGTGTAACCACTACTGATTCCCGAGGTCTCGTAGAGGAGCAAAACGTCCTCTCAAAGCCGGGCGCCCAGTAAAACGGGTCCGCAAAATACGTTCTTCTATGCCAGAGCGAAAACATCCACGCCGATGGAGGACGGAACAGTGGATGTCGATATGCACGCCTCGAAGAGGCATGCATTGCTGGCAACAGTCTATGGAGACGTCAAGGAGAATGCCAAAAAAAAAGCAAGCAACCTACCATGCCGTGGAGATATCAGGAGGGAGACCGGTTTCGGAAAGCCATTCGGGAAGCCATTGCTGATCCCTCTCTCCCATCGGCAGGATTCCCACTTCCCGCGCCGCTGATCGCCGTGCCGCTAGGCCGAAGGAAGGTGAATGCGCGACGGGATATGTGAAGTAGTAAACTTCACTACCATCGGCGATGGTTCTTCGGACTTCAAGGCGTGGACTTGGGCCGAGAAGTGGTGCTGCTGTCAAGTGAGACCAACGCGAAATGTTGGTGCAGCAGGAAGAAATTCTCGCTTGGTGCAAGACGCGATTGAGCTTTTTGATGGCAGGGGCTTGACCGCCTTGGCTTACATAACTAAGCCCAATTGCTCATCTTGGAGTGGAGTCTGAAAAAAGAACAGAACGCGACGTCATGAATCAATGAATCAGACCAGTCGAGCTGTTGTGACCGACCACGAAGCTGTGCTCCATTGCTTCTTCCCATCTCTTGGATGCTGATCAACACCCGCCTCCCTGTCCAATCCAACATTAACAGCAGTTGAATCCGCCGGGCCAGGGTGGCCACGACAAGCTGGCGATGGGTCCGTCAGCAGCATCATGAACACAACACGAGCCACAGTTGGCCAGCCGACGACCGAGAGCTCTGGGCGGCCACCGGCCATCGCCAACCAGGTGCTCGTCCGTCCGGATTCCCAGCCCCGAGCTCCGTGGCATGTCCTACGTATGCAGAGTCGGGCACTGACTATGCTGGGCCTGCAGCGCACCGCCAACAGGTCACCACCAGCCTTGGACTCTGTGTGGCGCTCCGCGAAAACATCTCGTCCCATCATGGTGTCGACGTCCCTGCGCTCACATGGGCAGCCAGCCACGTACCCAACCTCGCACTAGCTTGGAAGATGCAGCCTCATCCTTTTGTTTTATCTTGTATCTGGCCTTGCGAACTTGACGGTGCTACCCGGGCAAGCTGCCCACGCTGCACACTCTACTCACGCGCCTCGCTCGGCTTCACCATCCCTATCACATCCCTTGCTTCATTTCGGCCTCGCCCGTGGGCCCGTCGCTGCTAGGCTGGATCTAGGATTCTTCTCGAAACGCTAGAATTGGAGGGCAGGCTGCTAGCGCCTGAGCGGGACACACGACACCGAGAGGCGCCAACCAGGGACGCCGACAGATGTGGCTATCCGGCGCTGTTCCAGCGAGTGCGGCCAAGCGCCGCTGGCCACGCCTATCCATCCACTCCTGCTCCCTGTGGCACGTTGGTCCGGAGTAGCGGAGGGCGAATCCTTGAATTAGAGTGCGGCGCCCACGCTCTGTGCTCCCCGCCGGAAGGCGCTCCGGCGGGCGGGTCTACCTCGTTCTCGCCTGGCAGCCTCTTGGCCCGCTGTTTCAGCACGCTGGCCCTCACGCCGTCTCATGGACGTGCGCTGCCTTTCTTTGCTTCTTGCACAATCTCCACGCGTGATTCACCACATCCCCCCAGAGATTCGCGCGGTCTATTGAACTCTCTTGCGGGAACTCGCGTTGATTTTGTCAGGGTTCCGTCCTTGCACAATTTCAGGTCCCAGCCAGCTCCCCCATTGCGTCGCTTCGGCTGCGCCTGCCTGGCACAAACCAACATCCTCCCCACCATGAACGCCATATTCTCGAGATGGCCGTGCTCAATGGAGGGTCCCCGAGAACAGATCTCCCGCAGATCCTGCCAGCTTCAGCTTACGGCCCCTCGGAGGGGAAAGACGTGCATGCTGCGCACCACAGACGCGCATCCAGCGCCGTAGGCTGCCGCCTAAACCGCCTCGGAAGGAGACTGCTAGAAACCACGTCCCGTCGTCCTAAATGTTTTGGGGAGCGACCATTCCCGAGGGGCCACAACGCGCACTGACTTGGTCTTATCTAGGTACACTCTTTACCCTTAGCTTTGCACAGCGGCGCTTTGGGCCTCACTTCCCGATGGCCCATTGCCCATTGCCCGAATCCAGCCGCTGGCTGCCCTCTCTCTGCCGCCTGAGATATCTGGGTTGGGCCCATCCAACCAGTGTTGGTTTAGGCCGCCGAGTCCAGTGTTTCGGTACCACTATTACCAAGCCCGGGTGGCCCCGCTGAGAAAACATCAGCGAACATGGTCGACCGATCTGTCTGGTGCCACCGCCCGACGGCCCATGGGCACCAGGCGCCCGCACCCCCATGTCTATGCTTTCCTGGCATTCGAGCACCCCACGCGTGCGGACGAGGACCAAGCCATCACACAGAGGGCCCAACTGCCGCTGTGGGCTCTTGCCGCCGCGGCGCCATACTCCCCTCGGTATCGGCAACCAGATCCTGGCATCTTCCAGCAACCCCGGTGATGCGATCTGATCAACGCATCTACCGCCTCCTGCCTGTCCACTTCATTCCACTTTGGTATCGTCCCAGCCTCGTCCTCCCCAATTCTGTCATGCATGGCGGCCTTTCCGAAATCCCTGGGGGTTGGCGGCCTTATTGTTGTGCCCATGCTTCCAGGAGGCTTACAAGGTAGGCATCGTCCGAGCTCCCGCTGCTGTGAAGGTTTTGCGAGCCCCGTCCTTGCGATAACCATCGTGAGCTCCGCCCACGCCTGCCAAGCACTCGGCTCTTATATCGTTCCGTTTCTCCTCTTTATTCGAGTAACTGGAGCCGCAGGGCTGCACTTGGGACGAACAAAGTCAAAACACACAAGTCTGCCAGCGGATGTTGCTGCCCAACTCGTCGTCGTCATAATGAGCCGCATCCCTTCCCGTTTTACCACCCTTCCAGCTGTCTTTCGGTGAAGTATGCTCTGTGCTCGCTTCATCGCTTTGCCCGCTTCCTTTATCAACTCTTTCCTCGTTCTTCTTTCCGCATCCTTTCCGCTTTTGTGGCCCTAGACAGCTGGTGGTTTTCTTGCTCATCCTTGCAAAATGAGCTCCTCCTCGTCGTCATCGCGCAAGACGCGCAAGTCTCACGGCGGCTCCAGCGTCATGTTTGCAAACGCCGTTTACTTTCCAAGTTATTACATTTACCGTGGCTCTACCCCCGGGCAGATGAACTATAACTGCATCAGCCATGTCTACTACGCACACGCCCAGATATCTGCCGACGGCAGTGTCCTTGTGAGTTTGCCGGGATTGACGGTTTCTTCATTATCACGGCTTACTGCCGTACGTACGTCGAAAAGCGCGGCTGACTTGGAGGATTCCACAACCCGAAAGCTTGGTGACGAGTGGGCAGATGCCAGGGCGCCCTGTGATGGCGTCAGCGGTGGACTTGGCTCGTTGATGCATCTCAAACAAAGCTATCCGCACCTGCAGGTGATACTATCCGTCGGAGGCGGCTCATCCAGCGAGATATTCCCCTTGATTGCTAGCAATGCGGCACTCCGCGACAACTTTGCCCGGTCAGCACTCGGCTTGGTTGAGGCGTCAGGCCTTGATGGGATAGATGGTGCGATCCCCCTCCTCGGACCAAATCAAACGGACACCACCCATATCCCCGGGCATCCAGGCATCCGGAAACACGAAACACCAAGACACAACTCCCAAGAAAGAACCCAGGTTGCTAATATTCCTCGATAGTGGACTGGGAGTATCCGAGCACGCCGGAGCAAGGGGCGGACTTTCTAGCTCTGTTGGCTACTATCCGGCTCTATCTGACTGAGGATCGGTTCATCCTGACGGCGGCGCTGCCAGCTGGGATTCCCGTGCTGCAGAACATTGACCTCGCGACGGCAGCCGAATACCTCGACTACATCAACCTCAAGGCGTTCGACTTTTACGGTCACTGGACGCACAAGTGCGGCCATCACGGGCAGCTGTACGCCAGGGGAAAAGACGAGCCCTCGGGCGCGGGTGCTGTACAACACCTGATGGCCAACCGATTTCCGGCACGAAAGATCGTTCTGGGAGTCCCTGTCTTCGGGCGAAGCTTCCTCAACACCTCGGGCCCCGGGCACAAGTTCAGGGGCGCAGGCGGGGAGGACGGCATGTTTGAGTATCGCGATCTCCCGCGCAAGGGCGCCAGGGAGCAGGTGGACAAGGGGACAGCTGCCGCACAGTGTGTCGGCGGAGACGGTGGCTTCGTCTCGTACGACAACCCGGAGACGGTCAAGATGAAAGCCACGTTTTGCAAGCAAAAGGGGCTGGGGGTGAGTTTTTCTTCTTGGCTTCCCTCCCTTCCCTATCGATTACCACGTCCCTTTGAACAGGGTCACCACGTGCTTACCGTCTGCTTTCCATAACTCCAGGGTCTCTGCTACTGGGCTGGGCCGGCAGATGCCAAGGAGAGCAAAAGGAGTCTGATCGCGGCCGGCTTCCGTACGCTTCACGGCTCGTAGCCGACGCATTTTTTTTTCTTTGTTTTTGGGTCTTCATGTGCACGAGATAAAGTATTGGGTAGGACAAAGTTTGCATGGGTTTGGGGCGTTGACTTCACACTTGGACGGGCATGGGCATGGTTATGGCATAGAAGCTATTGTAGGTTGGGGACATGTGGCGGCAAGAGACCCTTTCATGGTCACAGCATTGACCGGCTGGTCGGCTGTTATTACCTGGGTGTTTGAGTAGTGTTTGTTCGTTTCTTCAGCATTTATTCATTTCTTCTGCTCTCCTTTGTACGCTATCTTTTAGACGGCATTTAGACTTGGACTGAAGGGTGATGGCTACGCATGGATCTGACTAGACTTCAATGGGAAACAAAATACTCATTTGGGTCTATATCGTTTGGGCAATCCCAGACTTGCCGAGACCTAGTGTCTGGCATGAAACCAAGGTCTAGGTGACTACGCTATCGAGGCGGACGGAAAGAAGTCCGAGGCGGCGAGGGACGGAACAAACGAAGCCGAGGGCATATTAATGGGCTTGTTCGTAATGAATTGCGATGTGGTAGCTCGAGTCATTGCTGTTTCTTTGCTTTTTGCTTCTGTGTCTCTCTTGGCTTGCTTTTCTTCTCTTTTTGTCAACATCCTTGCACACAAACTGCCTCATTAGTTTCTCAGCTGCACATAAGCGAATGTGGCGTGTCCGTATTCTTAAAGTTTTCGGGGCAAGGCGAGACGGGACTCGATGAGGGGAGCCGTGTCATGGACGTTCAGACGACTCCATCCCAATTTTGCCCGATCCGGCCTGGGCCCGCCCACCAAGCAAAGCCCCACGCGCTACGGCTGGGGCCTGGGACAGCTAAAGACACGCTAACACGTGACGGTAATCGACGTCAATCGCGGGAGCTCGCAGCGCGGCCGAGCGCCGAGTAAGACAGCCTGGCCGAAACCGCAAACCGAGCCGAGCCAGATGTGACGGTTTACCATGAATGGAAGCACCCTCACCGAGCCGTCGTCGCTGGATGCCGGTAAGTCACTGGCCCTGGGGTGAGACTGGGGTGGTCCAAAGGTGCGCACCAGGAATGCACCACCTGCCTGCCTCTGTAAAGGAGAGGCGGCAAGGGCGAGAGCGAGAGTGAGAGGCTGACACGTTCCCCAAACCCTCCCCCCTAGTCGACTACGACCCCGTGAGGCACCTCAACCTCCTCTTCTCGACCCCGGCATCGGTCGGCTCGCTAGACCCGGTCTGCCGCACGCTGCAGGCGCACAAGGATGGGCTCTCGGACTCGATAGCGGAGCTGGAGACGGCGCAGGCCTACGGGCCGTCGGCGTCGCTGGAGCGGATGCAAAGCGCGCAGGCGGAGCTGGCCGGGCTGTTCCAGCGCATCGAGAGCGTGCGCACGCGGGCGCTGCAGACGGAGCGCGACATCACCACCATGACGGCCGACATCAAGCGCCTCGACGGCACCAAGCGCAATCTGACGCTATCCATGACGGCGCTCAAGCGGCTGCAGATGCTGACGACGGCCTACGAGCAGCTGCGGGGGCTGGCCCGCACCCGCCAGTACCGCGAGTGCGCCGGCCTGCTGCAGGCGGTGCTGCAGCTCATGCGCCACTTCAACAGCTACCGGTCCATCGAGCAGATCGCGGCCCTGAGCCGCAACGTGTCGGACCTGCAACGCGAGCTGCTCGAGCAGGTGTGCGAGGACTTCGAGCTGGCCTTTGCCAAGGACGACATCGCCGCGCGCCGGCCCGTGCTGGTCGAGGCCTGCCTGGTCATGGACGCGCTCGGGGACAACGCGCGCGCGCGGCTCGTGACGTGGTACGTCAACACGGAGCTGCGCGAGTACCGCCACGTGTTCCGCGGCAACGACGAGGCCGGCTCGCTCGACAACATCGGCCGCCGGTACGCCTGGTTCCGCCGCGCGCTCAAGACGCACGAGGACGAGCACGCCGCCATCTTCCCGCCGCACTGGCGCGTCAACGAGGTGCTGGCGGCCGCCTTTTGCGACGGTACCCGGGACGACCTCAGGGGCGTGCTGGAGCGCGCCATGCGCAGGCCCGACGCCGCCGGCCGCGTCGACGTCAACCTGCTGCTCAGCTGCCTGCAGGAGACGCTCGACTTTGAGCAGTCGCTCGAGCGCCGCTTCGCCGCCGCCGAGGGCGCCGCCGCCGCGGCCGGCCGGCCCCGCGCCAGCATCGACACGCTGAGCTCGGCCGACGAGCGCGGCGCGGGCGCCCAGGCCTTCAACGGCTCCATCTCGGTCGCCTTCGAGCCCTACCTTAGCCTCTGGGTCGAGTCGCAGGACCGGCAGCTGGCCGCCATGATCCCCCGGTACAAGACGCAGCCGCTGCTGGCCGAGGACGACGAGTTCAGCCCCCAGGCCGTCATCCCGTCCGCCATCGAGCTGTTCCACTTTTACAAGACGACGCTGTCGCAGTGCGCCAAGCTGTCGACGGGCGACCGCCTGCTGGACCTCACGCGGACCTTTGCCAAGTATCTAGACGAGTACGCGCAGCAGGTCCTGCTGGGGATCCTGCAGCGGAGCGATGGGACGGGCGCGGGCGCGCCGGCGCAGGACGTGGTGCTGGTGCTCAACACGGCCGACTTTTGGCACACAAACACGAACCAGCTCGAGGAGAACATCCGGAAGCGCGTGGACCCGGACCTGGCGGCCAGGGTGGACCTGACGTCGCAGTCGGACGCGTTCCTGGGCGTGGCGAGCGCGGCGGTGCTCGCGCTCGTGCACCGGGTCGAGGTGGCGTGCGAGGGCGCGTGGCGCGAGATGAAGAACACAAACTGGAGCCGCATGGAGGGCGTCGGCGACCAGAGCTCGTACGTGGCCGAGCTGCTGCGGTGCGTCAACGGCGGCGCCGAGGAGATGCTGCCGCTCGTGGCCAAGCAACAGTACGCGCGCGCCTTTTGCGACAACCTCGTCGAGCAGATGGCGGGCGCGTACGTGTCCAACATTGTGTTGTGCCGGCCCGTTTCGGAGGTGGGGGCTGAGCAGGTAAGTTGTCACTTCTCTTCCATCTTCCAACACAACAGACATCAAGATGCTAACTCTGCTGCAAAAAGATGCTCCTCGACAAGTACGTCCTCACCAAGTCGTTTGAGAACCTCATGTCGTACCACACGCACTCCAACAGCAACGGCCCGTCGGGCCACACGCCCTCGGCCAGCTTCGTCAAGCGCGTCAACCAGAGCATGGCGCGCGTGGACCCGCTGCTCAAGACGCTGCAGGTGCGCGCGTCGCCGCCCGAGGGCCTCGTGCAGGCGTACCTGATCCACATCGGCGACCGGTCCGACGTCAACTTCCGCAAGATCCTCGACCTCAAGGGCCTGCGCTCAAAGGCGGACCAGTTGCACCTCATGGAGCTCTTTGCCATCCACCGAGAAGGGCCCGCGGCCGGCCGCCAGCTCGTGCCGCAGTCGCCCCTGCTGACGCCGCTCATGGCCTCGTCGTCCATGGGCGGCGGCGGCATCGGTGGCGGTGGCGTCAGCGGCGTGGGCTCGTCCATGGTGGGCGTCGCTGGCGTCGCCGTGCCGGCTGGCGTCGGGGCCGGGCTCGACGCCGCCAGCAGCCTCGGCGAGAAGCTGCTCAGCGCCGCCCGCGACGGCGCCCAGGCCGGCGTCACGGGCCTGGGCGTCACCATCCCTAACGCCGCCGCCGGCGTCGGCGTCGTCAGCGCCGCCGACAAGGCCACCATCAACGAGAACCTGAAGAACATTGGCAAGTTCTTCCGCAGGGACATTGGCGGGCTCGGCGCCCGGTTCGGGAAGCGGGACGTCTCGGGCGGGCCCGGGCCTGGTGGGGACTGATTGGATGAGAATAGGGGGGNGGGTGGG